AACAATAGTTGGAAAAAAAATCTAACACGGAGTCCCCAATTCATTAATATATATTAATGAATTGGGGACTCCGTGTTAGATTTTTTTTCCAACTATTGTTAAATTCAGTAAAATATAATTTGATGAATAATGGAATAATTTTAATTTGATATTCAAAAATTGTAATCCATCTAAGTTAATTTGTTTGGTCTTATGGAATTAAGAACGAAAAGAAAATCTACTCTCAAGTGCGTGTCATTTATTTTTAGGAATTGGGTTATTCGGATAATAAATGAAGACTTTATGTTTGTTATTTTATGTTCTTTCTTGACTCCACCACATAACATATACGTTGAGGAGCCAAAATGAAACTTTGTTTAAATCACACGGTAGTAGATTATGAACAATGATTTATTATCATTATTTTTTTTAACAGTAATTTGCATAAAGGGTAAATTACACATAATTCGAGAGCCAACAAATCCGATTAGAATTACGTACATTGTAATGACATCATTTCTTATCAAATAAATTAATCATGCACATCTAATTTTTGAAATACTTATCATTTTAATATGAATTACTATTTTTATTATAAATTAAGTAAACATTTTATTAGATACACTCACATAAATTAATCAAAATTATCTGACTTTCGAATTCTAAACTATTATCTTTATAAATTCATGTATAAGATGAGTAGAACGTATAAGATTTGTGGAGTAATAATTGTTGGCGTACTAATCCTCTGTGGAAGTCTTTGGCGTAAATTTGGTGCAAGACTAATGAATAGTAGTAACTTCTGTGCAACGACGTCATGAATGCAGCACAGACCTTTCTTCTTCTTCTTCTTCTTCTTCGTCGTCTTGTCTTTCCTTCTTTTCGTTAAAAATGATGTAAAACCCTAAATGAAGTAAGGGTTAAATGGGCAATTCAAAGCAATAAATAAGGATTAAATGGGCAATTCCAAACAATATATATAACCTATATCGTATTTATTGTATAATAGTTAAAGTTTTTATAGTGTCTAGACAAAATTGTTTCACCCTCATCTTTTCTTAGTGACGTGGCCACATTTGCTCCACTTATTACCGAATGGAAGAAATGACTTACTATGCAATTGGAGATGAATTTGCACAATAAACGAAGACTTTATGTAATTCATTTATTCACTGTTCCTTTGGTCGAAGGATCAAATTTTCCCCAATATTGTCAAAATTTAGAGCATAGATCAACTGGGCAATCTGACCCACTTTATAGTTATAGGACGGTGGCTTAAACCAACTTTTAAATAAATTAAAAAATCAATCGGGAAATGTTTGGAGTCACTTAAACTGGATAAGTAATTTTTTATTTAAATTCAAAAAATACATACTCATTTTGTTTTTTAAGAAATCCACTAATTCATAAAACGTATAATACTTAAAATGAATTAGTTGATTGAACAATACCCATAAATAAAAAAAAAATTAAGTTATCCTTTCCTTTTGATATATATATATATATATTTCATGGTTTTGATTTTTTTTTTTTTTTTTGGCTTCCTTTTTTCCCCAAATTATCTCTGCAATAAATACAAAAATAAAAGAAAATCTAAAATAAATTATTTTTTAACAAGCAATAGAATAGATTACTCCAAAACAAAATACAGTAAAATCTAACCCAGATTAACTTCCACCGTATATTGTCTGTCCCTTTCCATTCCAAAGTAAAAAAAAAAAAAAAAAAATGGTCTTTTTCTTTCCTTTGGTCATTGGCATTCACGTGAATGGGTCCCAATTCAAATTATAATGTTTCTACTTGCAAAAGCGAAATTAATGTGTAGTCCATAATAACATAGCATTCTAATTATTAAACCAAACATGTCCTGTTTGGCAAAAGGCATTGTTGTTCACCAAAAACTTTTGATTCAACCCATTCACACACCAATAATTTCAATCTAGATCCTTCCCATTTTGTGTCCCCATAGTCCCTCAGTCGATTCAATAATTGAATTTTGCTAGGTGAGATTGGTCTTTTTCTTTTTGACATCAATGAAAAATAATGGAGTTAGACATCTTTGTATTTATTTATAGTCGTCCAATAATTCAATACACACAGAAATAACATTTTTTTTATTAAGTATAAATACTCACATATATTTTATAAATTGTACACTACAGAAGTTAAACAGCTTTTTTTTTTTTTGGTCAAGGAAAAAGAAAAAAATCAGAGGAAAAAAATCACTTATCAAACTCTATTTCATAGGGTAAAATTAAAATACATCTTACGTTACATATTTTTTACTACAAAAATTGACTTTGTTTAGCGGCAGGCAATGGACTATAAACAGTGATTTGCATAAAGAGTAAATTGCACATAATCTAAAACAGAGTGGTACATGATGCATGAAACACATCCTCTATGGAAGTCTTTGGCGATAATTGTTGGTGTACTTATCTCTAGTGCCTGTCATTTACTTCTAGGAATTGGGATTGTTGAGGATAATAAATGAAGACTTTAATGTTTGTTATTATAGGGTCTTTCTTGACTTCACCACGTAACATATACGTTGAGGAGCAAAATGAGACTTTGTTTAGTGACAATCACACAACAACAGTTGACTATGAATAATGATTTGTATAAAGAGTAAATTACACAAAATTCGATAAATCCGATTAGAATTACGTATTAGTCATGTACGTCTAATTTTTGGACTATTTATCATCTTAATAGGAATTACTATTCTCATTATAAACTGAGTAATCTAGAGAGACTGGTATAGATGTTCTTATAAAATTAAGAACGAAAAGAAAATCAACTCTCTAGTTCCCGTCATTTACTTCTAGGAATTGGGTTGTTGGGGATAGATAATAAATGAAGACTTTATGTTTGCCATTATTAGGTCTTCCTTGACTCCACCACGTAACATATACATTAAGGAGCCAAAACGAGACTTTGTTTAATGACAATCACACGGCAGTTGACTATGAATAGTGGTTTGCGTAAAAAGTAAATTACGCATAATTTGAAAGTCTGATAAATTCAATTAGAATTATGTACATTATGATGACTTCAACTCTTATTCAAATAAATTAATCATGTGCGTCTAATTTTTGAAATACTTATCATCTTAATAGGAATTACCATTCTCATTATAAATTGAGTAAACATCATGATTTTATTGCACCAATTCCATAGACTTCATTGACTTGACTTGAAGTCTTTCCATGGGAAGACATTGCATCAATTTTAAAGTCACAATGCACATGTTTCATGCATGTCTCAAAAAAAAGAAAAAAATAAAAAATAAAAAATAAAAAGTCTTTAATTGAAACTTCAAAGTCTTGTGTCATCATTCTCAGCCTCACAAAGACTAAAAGATACAAATTGAGTAAATATCGTGATTTTGTCAATCCACTCACATAAATTACTCGAAATTATTCGACTTTCGAATTCTAAATTATTATTGTTATAAATTTTTATATAAGATGTGTAGAATGTATAAAAACTAAAGAAATAAGATGATGTGAATTAAAATTTAATAATAATTAGAAAAAATCTAAAATAGAGTTGGTAAATGATGAATGAACACATCAATTACAAAATAGAAAGATTTGGTCGACTAATAATTGTTGTCGTACTAATCCCCTGTGAAAGTCTTTGGCGTAAATTTGGTGCAAGACTAATGAATAGTAGTAACTTCTCTGCAAACGACTTCATGAATGCGCTTATGAAAGACACGGCTGTGTGAATACTACTATCATTGCATATCTTCAAGAACACAATGGCTAATAATACCACATTTCTTAGTCTGCTTCTAATTTGAGTATAACAATATATATATATATATAACAATATATATATATATTGCATATCTTCAAGAACACAATGGCTAATAATACCACGTTATTAATTTGAGTATAACAATATATATATATATATACAATATTATTTTTTTCATTAATTTTTTTTAAAAAAATATTCAGTAAAATATAATTTGATGAATAACTGAAAAATTTTAATTTGATACTCAAAAATTGTAATAGTTCTAAGTTAAATTGTGGTCTCATGGAATTAAAAACGAAAAGAAAATCAACTCTCTAGTGTGTGTCTTTTTACTTTTAGGAATTGGGTTGTTGGGAATAAATAATAAATGAAGACTTTATGTTTGTCATTATAAGATCTACCTTGACTCCACAATGTAACATATACATTGAGGAGCCAAAATGAGACTTTGTTTAGTGACAATCATACGACAGTTGACTATGAACAGCGATTTGCATAAAGAGTAAATTACACATAATTCGAGAGTCCGACAGACCCAATTAGAATTATGTATCATTGATGTTACTATGACATCATCTCTTACTCAAATAAATTAGTCATGTATGTCTAATTTTTGGACTACTTATCATCTTAATAGGAATTACTATGCTCATTATAAATTGAGTAAACATTATGATTTTATTAGGTCTTCTCACATAAATTAATAAAAATTGCAAACTCTAAATCATTATATTTATAAATTTATAGATAAGATGTGTATAATGTATACAAAATAAAGATGTGAGATGATGTGAACTAAAATTTAACAATAACTAGAAAAAGTCTAAAACAGAGTTCCCACGTCATTAAAAAAAAATTATTTTTTTCATTACTTTTTTAAAAAAATATATTCAATAAAATATAATTTGATGAATAACACAATAATTTTAATTTGATACTAAAAAATTGTTATAGTTCTAAGTTAATTTGTTTGGTCTTATGGAATTAAGGACCAAAAGAAAATCAACTCTCTAGTGCGTGTCATTTACTTCTAGGAATTGGGTTGTTGGGGTGGGATAAATCACTAGAAAAAAAATCTAAAACAGAGTTGGTAAATGATGCATGAACACAGTTATTAGAAAATAGAAAGATTTGGTGGACTAATAATTGTTGTCGTACTAATCCTCTGTGGAAGTCTTTGGCGTAAATTTGGTGCAAGACTAATGAATAGTAGTAACTTCTGTGCAACGACGTCATGAATGAGCTTATAAAAGACACAGCTGTGTGAATACTAGTATCATTGCATATCTTCAAGAACACAATGGCTAATAATACCACATTTCTTAGTCTGCTTCTTGTTCGTCTCCTTTTTCTTGTAATGTTGTTTTTAGGGTCATCGTCATTTTTGGTGAACAACATGACAAAACTCACCTCCGCCAAGTGCATTGAGATGGAGAGGAAAGCACTCGTCAACTTCAAACACGGTCTCAAAGATCACACAGGTAGCCTTTCTTCTTGGAAGGGCGAAGATTGCTGTCAATGGAGGGGCGTCGGATGCAACAACATAACCGGACATGTTGTCAAGCTCGATCTCAGAGGCAAGGCTTTTGATTCAAATGAGTACTACTACTATGTACCGAAGACCTTTGTATTACATTACCGAAGGTCGCGTTTGGGAGGTAAGATAAGTTCTTCTTTGCTTAAGTTGAAATATTTGAATTATTTGGACCTGAGCTCCAATGATTTTGGAGGAATTCGAATTCCTAAATTCTTGAGTATGTTTGAGAACTTGAGATATCTCAATCTCTCTTGTTCCATGTTTGGCGGTGAGATTCCATCTCATCTTGGAAATCTATCTAGCCTGAATTATCTTGATCTCGGTGATGATTATTTAATATGGTTTAATGAGGTTTCATTATGGCCTGTTGACCTACACACTTCAAATTTGAAATGGCTCTCGGGTCTCTCTTCTTTGAAATACCTTAACATGCAAAACTTGGAAGTCAATGACACTAATTGGCTGCAATTAGTTAACATGCTTCCTAACCTCATGGAGTTACACTTGCCTGGGTGTGGTCTACCGAGCCTTCCACTCTCACTCCCGTTTGTTAACTTAACTTTGCTTTCGGTTCTTGACATTTCTGGTAATGGGTTGATCTCCTCAATACCAAACTGGTTGTCCAATCTCACGAGCCTCACCAAACTTGATCTTAGCGTTAATCATTTTAGTGGCGTCATTTCGAGTGAATTCGTGAAGTTGACGTCTTTGGAAGACCTTGATTTGTTTTCTAATAGGTTTGAAGGTCAAGTACCAATATTTTTTGGGAATCTTTGCATGCTTAAAATTTTAGACCTTCAACGAAACAATTTCAACGGTGAGGTGGTTGAGTTTTTTGGTGCATTCTCGGGCTGTCCAACCAGTAGCTTAATGTCACTAAGTCTAGCATACAACTCTTTTGAAGGGGAACTGCCCGATTCAATAGGAATACTCAACAATCTTCAACGATTGGATCTCTGGGGAAACTCTTTCTGGGGTTCAATTCCGAAATCAATTGGAAATTTGTCATCCTTGCAAGAATTTTACCTCTCTGCCAATCAAATGAATGGAACCATTCCTGAAAGTTTTGGACAGCTCTCAAAACTCAGATTCCTATATCTCCGAAGTAATTCATGGGAAGGGGTCGTCACAGAGGCCCAGTTGATGAATCTCACAAGATTAGAAGATTTTAGAATATCAACAGAAAAATTCGGATCCTTGATTTTCAATGTGACATACGAGTGGGTACCTCCTTTCAGGCTCAAAATTCTTGAAATAGAAAACTGCCTGGTGGGTCCTAGATTTCCGGTATGGCTTCAAGTTCAAAATGAACTCACTCATGTGTCCCTTACGAATGTTGGAATTGCAGATACCATTGCCGAGGAATGGTTTTCCATGTTATCTTCTCAAGTTGTCCATTTGGATCTATCTAACAACCAAATAAAAGGGAAGCTACCAATCAATTTAGAATATCCAGAGTTATATACTATCGACTTGAGTAATAACTGTTTTGAGGGTTTGCTGCCACTTTGGTCCACTAATGCGTCCAATTTAATTCTTTATAGCAACTTATTTTCGGGACCAATTCCATCGAATATGGATAAATTGATGCCGAAGGTACGATTTTTGCTTCTGTCCAAGAATCGTCTAAATGGTACCATTCCATCATCGATATGTACAATGAAGAATTTAGAATATCTTGTCTTGGGGACCAATCAACTATTCGGGGAGCTCCCCCATTGTTGGAACAAATTTCAAATGTTAAAGCTTTTGGATGTAGCGAACAATAGTCTTTCAGGTAATATTCCAAGTTCAATTGGTTCTCTAAGTTCTCTTGGAACATTATTGTTGAGTAGCAATAATTTAAATGGACAAATTCCTCAATCCTTGCAAAATTGTTCAAATATTTGTATCATTGACCTTGGGGGAAACAGATTAAATGGAAAACTACCTTTGTGGATTGGACACAATACAACTCCATTTCTTGAGCTGTTACGTCTAAGATCTAACTCGTTCAGAGGAAGCATTCCTCAACAATGGTGCAATCTTAAAAGCCTTCACATCCTAGATCTTGCACACAACAATCTTTCAGGGGTCATTCCCACTTGTTTCGCAAATTTCTCATTATCGAGTAACGGCAGTTCCATCACAATTAGTGTGGACCAAATAAGTTTGGTGGCAAAAGGAAGAGAATTGAGATATGGTTGGACTCTACAATTTGTCAACAGCATTGATTTTTCAGCAAATAGCCTAGTTGGTGAAATCCCTGAAGAGATAACAAACCTAGTTGCACTTGGTACCTTAAATTTTTCAATGAATTATCTGTCTGGACGCATACCAGAGAACATTGGAAATTTGCGAAATTTGGAAACCTTAGATCTTTCAAACAACAATCTCTCAGGACCAATTCCTCAAAGTTTATCTTCACTGTTTTTTTTGAACCACTTGAATCTGTCTCACAACAACTTGGTAGGAAAAATTCCAACTGGCAATCAGCTCCAAACATTCGATGATCCGTCGATTTATGAAGGTAACCCCTTACTGTGTGGGCTTCCTCTTACCAAGTGCCTAGGCGATGTTACATCTAATGTGCCTCCTCTCAATGGAGGTGGTCTAAATCATAGTGACAACGGAAATGATCTTGACATGGCATGGTTCTATTATAGCATGGGACCGGGATTTGTTGTCGGATTTTGGGTTGTTTTGGGTACTTTGTTGATAAAGAAGACATGGAGGCATGCCTTGTTTCAGTTCGTGGAGAACATGACCGAAAGGATAACCCTTATGATTGCATTGAGAAGGGCTCGTTTGTAATCTATTTGTTTTCAAGTGAAATATAGTAGTACCCTTACCCATGTGATTTGTAAGTGCAATCCTATGTGATTTGCTTGGTTGTTTTCCTCTTTGTAATTGTGGCAATAATATGTGTAATTGTGTATGTGCAATTAGATATGCATTGTCTTGTATAATTCAATCACATTGCAATTTCTATACCACTCGAGCATATTTTATCCTTTTTATCACAAAATAAGCTCCTGATTTCACTCACCTTTCACATTTTCTGATGGATGATTCAAATCACGTGACACATAAGTTTACATATATTTATGAGATGGGGAGTTCAGTTATGCTAGTGAAAATTATTCCACATACTGAAATATCCGTAAAATATTGTTATTCTCGTGTCTGTATCCTTTAGAATTTCACTAGAAATTACAATTAAATTCGACTTTAAACAAGAAATTACTATTAAATTCGAATATAATTTCGATTTTTAAAACAAATGTAATGCACCAAACATTTCAATGTCTACATATATTCTAGATCAACAATTCAAAAAAAAAAATTCAATACAGCCAACAAAGCTAAAATCTAAAATCTAAGAAAAAGAAAAGCAAATATCAAAGAAAAAATTACAATCCAGCCCACAGAGCTAAAATGTTAGTAGTTGTTTTAATCACATAAAGAAAATATTTTTTTTTATTTTTTTTATCCTCACAAAGGAGGGGAAGGAGGCCTCGAACACGAACTAGATCACTAGATAATACCCTATCACATAAAAAATAAAAAAAAATAAAAAAATAAATTAAGACTGAAATGGACATAGAGAAGTGAAATCAAGATGCTAATTAAGAACCAAACTCTCTCATACTCTTCGAAATCCATGGTGTTTCATCTCCCAAAATCCATGGTGTTCCAATAGCAACCTAGCATCATCACAAAACACATGAAGAAAACTGAAAATTGACAATATGATATAATAGTAGTTCTGATAAAACAATAATAGAGAAAGGTAGTTGGCAATATATTATTGCCATTCATATATATCCAAATAAAAGCTCTCTACTGTTTCATCTCCTCAAATCACTTTACCAAACCTAATACATGGTGTCGCGTACCTAAACTTAGTGGTTGACTCTAACCCAACCTTACCAACCATCCAAAAGAAACCCAATACACACAATGAACCGGAGTGAGCCAACCAAATCACGAGCTCTAGTCTGTCACATGCCTCTCAGGAGTGAATACCTGAAAAGATGTGAAGGAGAAATTCAAAAGTTTAGCAAGAAATTGCTAAATACAATCATTGTTCAACAAATCAATCTAACCATGTACTATTATATATAAATACAACTCATATAAGGTACATTAATCAAATATATATAAGTTATAATGAGAACAATAAACAATATTAAGATAATGAGAAACCATCATAAACATTGGATGATAGCATCAATTATGACACATTGAGGTGTCTCAGATGACCGTCGTGAGAAATTTATCCAAAATTGTCATATGGTTTCACTGTTTCTATAGAATCATAAATGAGAGAAGAGAGAAAAAAAAAAACACATAATGCATAAATATACGTGTGTGTGTGTGTGTGTGTGTGTGTGTGTGTGTGTGTGTGTTTGTGTGTGTGTGTGTGTGTGTGTACATAATCAAACAGACAGATATAGAGAGAGGGTGAGAGCAGAATGGATACAAAAAAAGAATGATTATTGCTTCAGTGGGTGCTGTGAGACCACAGGAAAATAAGAGAAAATTTAGAACTTGAGTGATTATATATTTGTAGAATCATAGATATAATAAAATTATGTTATTAATTTATTACTGTATCCTAGCCGTGTCCGTGTCCGTGTCCGTGTCTATTTTTATTTTATTTTTTTAAAATTTATAAATATAGGAAGTTGACAAAAAAAAAATTGTTTAAGCGGGTTAAGATGGACCCACATTTAGCATAAAAATCAAATTTATATCCAAAAACATAAATAAAACATAAACATAACAGATTAACAAAGGTACAACTGATCAAGAAATACCCATGCATAAATCAATTAGGAACATATGAACAAGAAACTAACAAACCAAAACAAGGCTTGATGTCGAAGAGCAACTGAATTTTGAGTCTTCAATGTTCACCAAATTCAGAATTCCATCTTTATCTTTACTATTTTGGGCCCCAAGATCTTTGGGATTTCTTATTAAAAGAGCAAACAGTGTATAAGCCCAAAAAAACAAGGCCAAACAAGGCACACAATAAAATTGTATAGAATTGGGGATTCTACAATTTTATCATACGATTCTACCCAAAAAAGCGATTTTCATGCAATTTAACTCATTTTGGGGGGTCTAGGATCGTAGAATCGTGGGATTCTACAAACTAGAATCGCGATTTTAACAACCTTGATTCAATGCATTCTCAAGCATTGTTCTCATCCTCAAAAGTGTAATCATCCATCTGATATATCATTTACAATTGTACGCCATTTAGGTAAAGTGTTTGCACTTACAGACTTAACATTCCAAACATGAACTCAGAACTTACGAAGAGTATATCTAAAATTCATCATCCATATTCAGCTTATATATCCATGTAACTCTTTAGTGCTTTCCCATACTCTCGACTTTAGTATTTAGAAGTACCAATTTTTGGGTAATTATATTATTAAACACCCTAGACTCAGTCTAAAATTACTTAATTAAGTAAATTTTTATTTTGAACTACCAAAAATATTTTTTTGGTAATTTATGAAATTTTCTGAAACTTATTTCTATTTTTCTCTAAATTTTATTAATTATAAATAATTATCAGATGGATAAGAGGGGCCCATCATGCTGTCCTAAGCATGTGGAGTCAGGAAGGTCCATTATGCTGCCAAACCACCACCCATCGAAGCCTCACACGCCCCACGCACCTCCAGGTGCACATGGACTTGCGTCGCTCACTGTTCCTCTTCTTCCCCAATTGTTTTCTGATCAAATTTACGCCCATGAACCCTATTTTGCAACCCAGCCTTTGCAAACCCAAATTCGACCACCAAATAGCCTCAATACATGTTTAAATTATGGGCAATTCAAAATGGATTCAAAAATCAAGTTACTGAGTGAAATTTGTGTTCCTTTGCAAGTTCGTGCAACCAAATCGAATTCGACAACAAGTTCCTTTTTAACCATCTATGCAACTTATGTGTATATACAGAATATAGGTTTTCTTGAGAGTTAGAACTTGATCATACTAATTCACATATAATCATATGCACATGTATAATCTGCTCATATAGCTATCTAGTTACTCATTTATCAATACCTCAACCTATACTTGCATTGATTATGCTTTCTATAATTAACCCACCAAATTTGATAACAAGCTTAGTCCTCATTCATTAGACAATTTCCAGCCAATCACACACAATAATTACATCTTGTTAAGCAGTCAATTATTATTCATGAGGCTTAAAAACACTGATAATTGAAGTCATTGGTTTCCTGTAAATTACATGTCACTTTAATCTATTAAAACAATTTTAAATTAATTAAATTAATCTAACAAATTCAAATAAACTAACATACTATTAAATACCAAATTCTTAATTAGAGTAGGGCTACTCATATACTACTATAGTATAAAATTCGCAAGATTAATCATTTGACCCTCAACTATTTTAAAAATCAATTTTAAACTTTTGTGGGTATTACACATAGGATTTACTACCAAACACAACAGTCATTCCAAAGTTGAAGTCTATCAAATACCACAAATTATCATTAAATCAATCAAAGAACATTAAAATAAATTGGTTTTTAGTTACTGAATTAATTTTACCTTGGTCGATTGTAGTTCACTTTTTTACGCCTGCATATCAAGACATCCGTATCCGTATCCGAAATTCCCGAATACACTTTTGCTTCAAAGGTTTCCACAGGATTGTCATCCTTATCCTTATCCTTGGCCTCAAAGGTAATATAATACATGAAACCACCAACAGGCATCGAATTTGCCTTCACAACCTTCACAAATTCGTAATTTGCATCCTACAAGAAATTTTACAATATAGAAGAAGGGTTAAAAAGAATTGAAAATTTATTGCACAAAAGGAAAAACAAACGGTAAAAATAAAACTACATATGTATCTTCTGTTGTAATTATCAACTGCTAAATTCGAACATCTGTTAAGCTGTTTAAATGATCGGTGATCGGTGATCCGTGAACTCCACACCAGGCCTGAGAAATGGAATAATGATACCCAATGCAAAGGTTTGGGGAAATTCAGGAACATCAAACCCCTGTAATGTACATAAAATTTAGTCATGCAATAGATTATTGACATTCAATACATATATATTTATATACAGATTAACTATAATGTTCCAGTATAATAGGCTATATAAACTTAAGGTGTAATCAGAGTTCAGAGAAAACAAAAACAAAGAAGTTCAACTGGCAATAAATTATTGACATTATTCATATAGATCCATATAATATATATCTCCACTGTTTCATCTCCTCAAATCAAGTAATGAGAAAATTAAATTGTTATGAAATCAAATCAAATAAAACAAATTCCACAAATCATTATGAAATCAAATCAAAGAAAATTAAAACAAATTGCTATTGAGGGCATATATATATATATATATAGACGAACAACTGACGGCATTAGCTTGAAAATCGAAGAGACACTTACATCGCTGATTCCAACAGCTTTATAGTACTCCAGATACTCTTTCTTGGTCATCCCACGAAGCCCACCTCAACGATTGGATCTCTCAGGAAACTCTTTCTGGGGTTCAATTCTGAAATTGATTGGAAATTTTTCATCCTTTCAAGAATTTTACTTCTCTTACAATCAAATGAATGGAAACATTCCTGAAAGTTTTGTAGAGCTCTCAAAACTCAGAACCTTGGATCTCTCGGGAAACTCTTTCTGGTGTTCAATTCCGAAATGGATTGTAAATTTGTCATCCTTGCAAGAATTTGACCTCTCTTCCAATCAAATGAATGGAACCATTCCTGAAAGTTTTGGACAGCTCTCAAAACTCGGATCCTTACATCTCAAATATAATTCATGGGAAGGAATCTCACGAGATTAGAAGATTTTAGAATATCAACAGAAATATTCGGATCCTTGATTTTCAATGTGACATACGAGTGGGTACCTCCTTTCAGGCTCAAATTTCTTGAAATAGAAAACTGCCTAGTGGGTCCTAGATTTCCGGTATGGCTTCAAGTTCAAAATGAACTCACTGATGTGTACCTTAAGAATGTTGGAATTGCAGATACCATTGCCGAGGAATGGTTTTCCATGTTATCTTCTCAAGTAGTCAATTTGGATCTATCTAACAACCAAATAAAAGGGAAGCTACCAATCCATTTAGAATATCCAGAATTAGATAGTATTGACTTGAGTAATAACAGATTTGAGGGTTGGCTGCCACTTTGGTCCACTAATGCGTCCAGTTTTTATCTTCATAGCAACTTATTTTCGGGACCAATTCCATCAAATATTGATAAATTGATGCCCAATTTAGTAGCATTGTATTTGTTTGAGAATCGTCTAAATGGTACAATTCCATCATCAATATGTACAATGGAGAGTTTAATAGTACTTGCCTTGGGGACCAATCAACTATTCGGGGAGCTCCCACATTGTTGGAACAAATTGCAAATGTTAAATTTTTTGATGTAGCAAACAATAGTCTTTCAGGTAATATTCCAAGTTCAATTGGTTCTCTAAGTTCTCTTCAAACATTATTGTTGAGTGGCAATAATCTAAGTGGACAAATTCCTCAATCCTTGCAAAATTGTTCAAAGATTTGTACCGTTGACCTTGGGGGAAACAGATTATATGGAAAACTACCTTTCTGGATTGGATACAACACAACTCCATTTCTTGAGGTGTTACGCTTGTGATCTAACTCATTCAGAGGAAACATTCCTCAACAATGGTGCAATCTTAAAAGCCTTCACATCCTAGATCTTGCACACAACTATCTTTCGGGGATCATTCCCACTTGTTTGGGAAATTTATCATTATTGGCTAACAACAGTTTCCAAGCAATCGGAATGGAGCAAATAAGTTTGGTGGCAAAAGGAAGAGAGTTGAGATATGGTTGGACTCTACAATATGTCAACAGCATTGATCTTTCAGCAAATAGCCTAGCTGGTGGAATCCCTAAAGAGATAGCAAATCTAGTTGCACTTGGTACCTTAAATTTTTCAATAAATCGTCTGTCAGGACACATACCAGAGAACGTTGGAAATTTGCGATATTTGGAAACCTTAGATCTTTCAAACAACAATCTCTCAGGACCAATTCCTCAAAGTTTATCTTCACTGACACTTTTGGCTCACTTGAATCTGTCTCACAACAACTTGGTAGGAAAAATTCCATCTGGCAATCAGCTCCAAACACTCGATGATTCGTCGATTTATGAAGGTAACCCCTTACTGTGTGGACTTCCTCTTCCAACCAAGTGCCTAGGCAGTGATACACCAAACATGCCTCCTCTCAATGGAGGTGGTCTGAATGATAGTGACAACGGAAATGATCTTGACATGGCATGGTTCTATTGTAGGACCGGGATTTGTCGTCAGATTTTGGGCTGTTTTTGGTACTTTGTTGATAAAGAAGACATGGAGGCATGCCTTGTTTCAGTTCGTGGAGAACATGACTGAAATGATAGCCCTTATGATTGCATTGAGAAGGGCTCGTTTATAATCTATTCGTTTTCAAGTGAAATATCCCTATAAGTGCAATCCTTTGTGATTTGCTTGGTTGTTTTCCTCTTTTTTAGAGAGGATGTGTAATTCTGTGTGTGCAATAATATATACATTGTGTGTGCAATAATATATGCATTGTCTTGTATAATTCCATCATATTGCAATTTGTATACCACTCGAGCCTATTTTATCCTTTTTATCGCAAAATAAGCTCCTGATTTCACTCACCAACTATGGTTCAGCATTTTCTGATGGATGATTTAGACAGTGAGATTAATTTAAAATATTTGCTTTAGTTTTGTTAAGTGACCTTACAAACAGATTTTTTTATCAAATATAATTTTTGAAAAATCATGTGACACATAAAAGTTTACATATATTTATGAGATGGGGAGTTCAATTATGCTAGTGAAAATTATTCCACTCTGAAATATTCACAAAATATTGTGATTCCCGTGTCTATATCCGTTAGCATTTCACAAGAAATTACTATTAAATTCAAATATATTTTTTAAAACAAATATAATGCATCAAACATTTCAATGTCTACATATATTCTAGATAAACAATTCAAAAAAAATTCAATACAGCCCACAAAGCTAAAATCTAAAATCTAAGAAAAAGAAATATCAAAGAAATAATTACTACAATACAGCCCACAGAGCTAAACTGTTAGTAGTCGTTTAATCACATAAAGAATTTTTTTTTGTTTTTTTTTTTTTACTCACAAAGGACAAAAGGAGGGGAAGGACTGGGCACTTAACCAACTAGATCTCTGGGTAATACCCCATCATATAAAAAAAATAAGACAAAAATGGACATGGAGAAGTGAAATCAAAATCCTAATTAAGAAATCCTAATTAAGAACCAAACTATGGTGTTCCAATACTAGCATTATTGTCCAAATCCATGGTGTTTCATCTCCCAAAATCCATGGTGTTCCAATACTAGCATCATCACAAACACATGAACAACTAGATCACTGGGTAGTTCAGAGAAAACAATAATAGAGAAGAGTTGGCAATATATTATTGCCATTCATATATATACCCAAATAAAAGATATCTACTGTTTCATCTCCTCAAATCACTGTGTCACGTACCTAAACTTAGTGGTCGACTCTAACCCAACCTTACCAACCATCCAAAAGAAACCCAATACACTCTCAGGAGTGAGTACCTGAAAAGATATAAAGGAAAAGTTCAAAAGTTTAGCAAGAAATTGTTAAATACAATCATTGTTCAACAAATCAATCTAACCATGTACTTTCATATATAAATACAACTCATATAAGCCTTATAGGGTACATTAATCAAATATAATTTATCTCTAATCACTTTAGATACATTATCACCATTCATTTCATATAATAATTATTATTATATCCATTTATGACCCGCCATTGACGGATTGGGAATGGGTTATTGACCTATTCATACCCAACCCATTCAAAACCCGCCCAAACCCACCCAATGGGCCGGTCAACCCGTTCCAACCCCTTTTTCCCCCTTTTTTTTTTTTTACTTTTGCAAACTTGATCTTTTGTGATAGTAAACTTCTGACTCAACTGTCAACAAATTCAAAATGACAAACAAATTCAAATTTTTTTTTCTATCCTCGAACAAGGTTTCTTTGACTACCATATTAAATAGCAAAAAGACAAAGATTAACTTAATTCAATAAATGGTTATAAAAACCCACTTACCGGGTTAAAAAAAAAAAGTGCAGAATTTGAAAAACTATTCTCTACTTAATTCGATAAATGTTCTGTTCTATCAATTTACTTAAATATATATATATATATACACATACATACATATATATATACATATAATTGAAACCCCGAGATGCAAAAATCACAAATTGAATACAAAATATAAGCAAGCATTCAGTATGAGTAGGAGGTTATGTATTCCTTTCATGAAAACAATCGGAATATATGTTTAGTTCATCATCATTATGCTCGCTCTATCAACAATTTTTATTTATACATATAAATATATTAAATATATATAAGTTATAATGAGAACAATAAACAATATTAAGATATTGAAACCATCATAAACATTGGATGATAGCATCAATTATGACACATTAAGGTGTCTCAAATGACCGTCGTGAGAAATTTATCCAAAATCATCATCTAGTTTCGTTGTTTCTATAGAATCATAAATGAGAGAAGAGAGATATGTATGTACATAATCAAACAAACAGATATAGAGAGAGGGTGAGAGCAGAATAGACTGAAAAAAAAAGAATGATTATTGCTTCAATGGCTGCTGTGAGACCACAGGAAAATAAGAGGAAATTTAGAGCTTCAGTAATTATATATTTATAGAAACATAGATATAATAAAATTATATTATTATTTTATTACCGTATCCTTGTTGTGTCCGTGTCCTATTATTATTTATTTTTTTTAAAATTTATATATATAGGAAGTTGAAGAGAAAGGCGCGCACACACAGAGAGCGAGAGAGAGAGTTATCACTGGGAAAAAAAATTAAATAAATAAATAAAATAAAATAAAATAAATTTGTTTGAGCAAGTTAAGATGGGTACCTACATTTAGCATAATAATCATCATAAGGTCGTCCTCGACATCCCCTCCGACTCTCACCTAAAGTAGTAGTGTGAACCAAGGTTGTTAAAATCGGGATTCTATGTAGGATTGTTGGGGGCTCCACACAATCGGATAGAGTAAGATTCTAGCAAACTAGTAGAAAACGTTTCAAACTATCTTATATCTGTGAGATATAGCAAGAATAAATCCAAAACACAAAAACTTGTATAGAAGTACCACTCCAAATATAATGATGTATAAGAGAATGTAGTGCTACTAATATATCCAAATAATTCAACTAATCCAGTTTCAAACTTTCAACATCAATTCAATTAGATATGAATTATAACTTATAACTTATTAGATGTTGCTTATAAAAAAAATTATAATAATAAAAAAGAATTATTACTTATTGACAAGAGATGAATCCTAATTTTAGGATGACTGAGAAGAATCCCAAAACAAAATGAGAGGTAGCTAACCAACTTCTGGGAGAGATGCTAGTGCTTCTAACTCGGATGCTACTAACTATATGAATTACTGAATTATAACATTAAGTTATAAACATTATACACTTAACAAAATTATCAAATTTATATCCAAAAACATAAATGGAACATAAACATAACAGATTAACAAAGGTACAACTGATTAAGAAATACCCATGCATTAATCAACTAGGAACATCTGAACAAAAAACTAAGAAACCAAAAAAAGGCCTGATGTCAAAGAGCAACTAGATTTTGAGTCTTCAATGTTCACCAATTTCAGAAATTCATCTTTATCTTTACTGTTTTGGGCCCCAAGATCATTGGAATTTCTTATTACGTAGTAACAGAGATCAACCCATAAAAACAGTGTATACCCCCAAAAAAACAAGGCACACAATAAAATCGTATAGAATCGGTAGAATCTTACGATTCTACTGTAGGATTCTACAATTTTATCATACGATTCTACCCAAAAGAGCAATTTAACTCGTTCTGGGGTCTAGGATCGTAGAATCGTGCGATTCTAGAAACTAGAATCGCGATTTTAACAACCTTGATTCAATGCATTCTCAAGCATTGTTCTCATCCTCAAAGGTGTAATCATCCATCTGATATATCATTTACAATTGTACGCCATTTAGGTAAAGTGTTTTGCACTTATATACTTAACATTCCAAACATGAACTCAAAACATAGGAAGAGTATATCTAAAATTCATCATCCATATTCAGCTTATATACCTGTGTAACTCTTTACTGCTTCCCATACTCTCGACTTCGGTATTTAGAAGTACCAATTTTTGGGTAATTATATTATTAAACAGCCTAGAGTCAGTCTAAAATTACTTGATTAAGTAAATTTTTATTTAGAATTACCAACAATATTTTTTTGGTAACTTATGAAATTTTTTTAAACTTATTTCTATTTTTCTCTAAATTTTATTAATTATAAATAATTATCAGATGGATCAGAGGGTAGGCCCATCATGCTGTCCTAAGCATGTGGAGTCAGGAAGGTCCATTATGCTGCCAAACCACCACCCATCGAAGCCTCACACGCCCCACGCACCTCCAGGTGCACATGGACTTGCGTCGCTCACTGTTCATCTTCTTCCCCAATTGTTTTCTGATCAGATTTACACCCATGAACCCTATTTTACAATCCAGCCTTTTCAAACCCAAATTCGACCACCAAATAGGCTCAATACATGTTTAAATTATGGGCAATTCAAAATGGATTCATAAATCAATTATTGAGTGAAATTTGTGTTCCTTTGCAAGTTCGTGCAACCAAATCAAATTCGACAACAAGTTCCTTTTTAACCATCTATGCAACTTATGTGTATATACAGAATACAGGTTTTCTTGAGAGTTAGAACTTGATCATACTAATCCACATATAATCATATGCACGTGCATAATCTGTCTGCTCATATACCTATAGATATATTCGCCCAGTTACTCATTTATCAATACCTCAACCTATACTTGCATTGATTATGCTCTCTATATTTAACCCACTAAATTTGATAACAAGTTTAGTCCACATTCATTAGACAATTTCCAGCCAATCACACACAATAATTACATCTTGTTAAGCAGTCAATTATTATTCATGAGGCTTAAAAACACTGATAATTACCAAAAGACCTTTGGCCTAATGGTATAACCTCCTCATCTTCAAAGAAGAGGGGAGGGGTTCGAGTTCGGGTATGGGCAAAAAAGTGTGTGTGTGTTTGCTTTACCATCCAAAAATAATAATAATAAAATAACACTGATAATTGAAGTCATTGGTTTCCTGTAAATTACATGTCACTTTAATCTATTAAAACAATTTTAAATTAATTAAATTAATCTAACAAATTAAAATAAACTAACTTACTATTATATACCAAATTCTTAATTAGAGTAGGGCTACTCATATACTACTATAGTATAAAATTCGCAAGATTAATCATTTGACCCTCAACTATTTTAAAAATCAATTTTAAACTTTTGTGGGTATTACACATAGGATTTACTACCAGACACAACAGTCATTCCAAAGTTGAAGTCTATCAAATACCACAAATTATCATTAAATCAATCAAAGAACATTACAATAATTGGGTATTTAGTTACTGAATTAATTTTACCTTGGTCGATTATAGTAACTTTTTTATGCCTGCATATCAAGACATCCATATCTGTATCCGTAATTCCCAAATACACCTTTGCTTCAAAGGTTTCCACAGGATTGTCATCCTTATCCTTATCCTTGGCCTCAAAGGTAATATAATACATGAAACCAACAACAGGCATCGAGTTTGCCTTCACAACCTTCACAAATTCGTAATTTGCATCCTACAAGAAATTTTACAATATAGAAGAAGGGTTAAAAAGAATTGAAAATTTATTGCACAAAAGGATAAACAAACGGTAAAAATAAAATTACAAACGTGTCTTCTGTTGTAATTATCAACTGCTAAATTCTAACATCTGTTAAGCTGTTTAAATGATCGGTGATCCGTGTGAACTCCACACCAGGCCTGAGAAATGGAATAATGATACCCAATGCAAAGGTTTGGGGAAATTCAGGAACATCAAACCCCTGTAATGTACATAAATTTAGTCATGCAATAGATTATTGACATTCAATACACACACACATATATATATAGAGATTAACAATTGAGGGCTTTACTTTGATGTTCCAGTATAATAGACTATAGAAACTAAAGGTGTAATCACAGTTCAGAGAAGACAAAAACAAAGAAGTTCAAATGGCAATAAATTATTGACATTATTCATATAGATCCATATAATATATCTCCACTGTTTCATCTCCTCAAATCAAGTAATGAGAAAACCTCACCATAAGCATCTAATAAAAGTAAAATAGCAATCATTCCAAATTTGAAGTCTATGAAATTCCACAAATCGTTATGAAATCAAATCAAAGAAAATTAAAACAAATTGCTATCGAGGGCATATATATATATATATATATATATATATATATATATATATATATATATTGACGGCATTAGCTTGAAAATCGAAGAGACACTTACATCGCTGATTCCAACAGCTTTATAGTACTCCAGATACTCTTTCTTGGTCATCCCGCGAAGCCCATCTCCATACCCATCAGAATCGCTTTCGCTATCACTGCCGATATCAGGGACAACGTCGTCTTCAATGTCAGAGACTTTGGATTTCTGCTTTTCGTCTTCATCGTCATAGTACAATTTATGGCAATGAGGTATTGCTTTCTTCGGTAATGTATCAGACCCTTCAAAAGAGTTCGAACCACTGCTAGAACCAGAAGAATCCATGTTCGCAGCAGCAGCAGCGATTTTATTGAAAAAAAGAGAGAGAACCCAAACCCAAACCCAAAGGTAAAAACAAATAGATATATAAATACGTAAATTGATTTTAGGACATGTTTGGATAAAAGTATAGGACGAAAAACAGATGCAGCTTAAAATAAGGTTAAATTACATATTTAACGCCTAGACTTTCACCATTTTGCAGTAAATTTCCTTTTATTATTTTTTTACCAAAAACTCTTTATCAACTAACCAGGATTTTAACCCCTTGACTTTCCCCATTTTCCAGTAAATTTCCTTTTATTAATTTTTTACCAAAAACTCTTTATCAACTAATCAGGATTTTTCTTTAACCAAAAAAAAAACTAATCAGGATTTTTTTTAAAATTTTTTTGTCAAAATACCCCACAACCAAGTTAAGGAAGGGTTTTTATACCTTAGACTCCCCCCTCCTTTCCTACCTTAGATTTTTATTTGGATCTATCAAGCAACCAAATAAAAGGGATGCTACCAATCCGTTTAGAATATCCAAAGTTATATAGTATCGTAACTGTTTTGATGGTTTCCTCCCACTTTGGATCCACTAATGCGTCCAATTTAATTCTTCATAGCAATTTCTTTTCGGGACCAATTCTATCAATAATGGATAAATTGATGTCCAAGACAGAAATATTGTATCTATTTGAGAATCGTCTAAATGGTACAATTCCATTATCAATATGTGCAATGGAGAGTTTAATAGATTTTGTCTTGGACCAATCAACTATTCGGAGCGAATTATAAAAGTTAAATTTTTTAGATATAGTGAACAATAGTCTTTCAAGTAATATTCCAAGTTCAATTGGTTCTCTAAATTCCCTTGAAACATTTTTTTTTGGTTAACTTAGAAACATTATTGTTGTAGCTGTAATCTAACTAGGCAAATTCCTTAATCGTTACAAAATTGTTCAAAGATTTGAATCATTGACCTCGGCGGAAACAAATTATATGAAAAACTACTTTTGTGAATTGGACACAATACAACTCTATTTCTCAAGTTGTTACGTCTACCATCTAACTCATTCTAACTCATTCAGAGAAAACATTACTCAACAATAATGCAATTTTAAAAACCTTCACATCCTAAATCGTGAACACAACATTCCTTCGGGGATCATTACCACCTATTATCATTATTGTCTAACAAAAGTTTCTCCGCAATGGGAGTGGAGCAAATAAGTTTGGTGGCAAAAGTAAGAGAGCTCAGATATGATTGGATTCTACAATATGTCAACAACATTGATGTTTCAGCAAATAGCTTAGTTGGTAAAATCTCTGAAGATAAAACAAATCTAGTTACACTTGGTACCTTACATTTTTCAATGAATCATCCATATGGCCGCATACCAAAGAATATTGAAAATTTGCGAATTGAAATCTTTACTTAATGGGGGCAAAAATGGTTTGTTGCTGCTCCTAATATTAAAACATTTGGTCTAGTTTTGTTAAGTCGCTTTAAAATCAGATTTTTTATCAAATATAATTTTTGAAAAACCCGTGACACATATAAGATCGATTACGTCACTCATATTCTTGAGATCGGTAGTTCAATTGTGCTTGTGAAAATTATTCCACACTCTTGAGTATTCACAAAATATTGTGATTCCCTTTACAATTTTACAAAAAATTATTATCAAATTTTAATATAATTTCGATTTTTAAAACAAATATAATGCACTCCAACATTTCTATGTCAGATAAACAATTCAAAAAGGTTTAATACAGCCCACAAAGCTAAAATCTAAAATATAAGGAAAAATATATATATATATATATATATATATCAGAGAGAAAATTACAATACAGCCCACAGAGCTGAAATGTTGTAGTTGTTGAATCACATAAAGAAATTAAGACAGAGATAGAGATGAAGACCGCTCCAAATTAAAGGAAGTGAAAGTAGCGTAGGTAATTTAGCCAGCGTAGATGTGAACCCCTATAGCGATGAGGAAGATGGTGATGAGGCAGAAATAGATGATGGTATGGACGAGAATGGACATACCACTTGTCTGCATATTACCAAACTCAACCACTCTGCTCTTCCCAGGTATCTGAAACAACAATCCCGGCGATAGCAACACGAACATCACCACCGCTATCACCACTGGTCCCCAATCCGCCATCTTTCTTACTTAATTTCTCTCTTTCTCTCCGTATAGGTAAATTACTTGTGTGTGTATGTGGGTGTGGGTGTGGGTGTGTATATATATGTATATATATATGTTATGTATATGTATGATGAGAGGGATGGAATGAAGAAAAGAATACTTGAAAGAGTGTAGGAAACAGGTGGAAAGAGAGTGGAATTTGACGGTGCATTGTCTGGACAGATGCCAGAGCATGTGTGGCAGTGATGTGACGTTTTCTTATGGCACGACGCTATCCCAATTATTTCTTATTCGCGACGCTATCATTTAACTTGCCGACTTTTCCTCCTAAATATTTTTCTTGTTTTGATGAACTTATTAAAGAGGAATCACTGTCTGATTTATTTTATTAAAAAAAGTGACACAATAACGTGCTGGTCCATGGGTGTTTGGATAGTGACCCATAATTTGTGTTAATTGTTTGTATGTTTGTATGCCTATTGTGCATTAGTATTTGCCATTACTCTATATATATATATATATATATATATATATATATATATATATATTTTATGTATGTATGGAGTTTTTTATTTTTATCTTGACAAATTAAAGGGAGTTAGACTCGAATATGGGCACATTCATTTAAATAGTTAAGCTAGCATTCTATTTAGTATGTCACTGAGGTATGGAGTTTGACAAGCAAGTTAAGCATTCTACGCACATGTGTGGTTAAAGGGGCGCGAATCACCTGCAGTGAGGCTCCCATGCAGTTTCTTGCTGTAACTTTTAAGTGGTTCATATTTGACCACATCATTCTTCAGCTAACGGATACTAAGGCCGTGTTTGGCCAATTACACCACTATTTATAAATAACATTTCACCACCATTTATAAGTAACATCACATAATCTAAAAAGTAATGTCACATATAAACATAACTCAATTTAACATATCATTTATGTTATTATTTGAAATTAAAAGTAATGATATTTCCTTTTACAAATACTGAAGTTACTTTTTAGACTCTGTGATGTTACTTATAAAAGTGATGAAACGAAAAAATAGTCTAAAAAGTAACATCATCACCATTTATAAGTAATATCACAGAAGTCTAAAAGTAATATCGCACAGTTTAAAAAATAATATCACATAGGTGAAAGATACTTATAAATGGTAGTGATGTTACTTTTTAGATTATGTGATATTACTTTTAGATTTCTGTGACGTTACTTAAAAATGGTGGTGAAATATTACTTATAAATAGTGGTGCAATTGTCAAACATAGTGTTAGTGTCTATTAAGTGGAGCAAAACGTGGCCAAATCAAGACCACTTACTACTCACTGTAAGAAACAGCATGGGAATTGCACTGCAGGTGATTTGCGCCGGTGGTTAAAGTGATACCGAAAAGGAAGAGCAAGTATTAGGCTTAAGGTCACAAACCCATCAACCAAATGTGTCTATTTCACACAAGTGGAGGAAGGTTCAGGGCAGGGGCACACAAGCAGAGTCTTCATGCCCAATGAACCCTACCCAAAATTCTGAGGGTTGTAACCAGACAGAAGCCTCATATTCTCCCATGCAACAAGTAAACCAATAATATTGTTACAAGCGTAGAAGTTATGAAACAATATTGAGTTTGATGAACATGCGATATAACTCATCTCCTTAGCCAAAATTTGCAAATCTATCAATGAAATGTTCATAAAAAACAGCACTGTTTATTCTATGTTTTTTTTTTTTTTCGGGTAAATAAGTTTGAAAATTTTATTATATGTTATAAACCCAAAAAAGAAATCCTAAATTTTCTTCTTTTTTTATGTTTTTCATTTTAAATTTTCAATTCAAAGGATGTCGAAACAAGAAAAAATTGTGAGAGAAAATAATGTGACAGACAAGAAGTAACATTACTTTCAAAGAACTGATCAGTATTATTATTCAACCAAAGATAGATTTGGTACTGTTATACATAACATTAACAATGTAGACCATGAGTTTCCAATGTGATGGAGCATACAAAAATAATATATATATATATATATATTAAAATACACTCAAATTAAAATCCACATTAACCAAAATACAAGTGAACTTTAATAGCTAGCAAGAAGACACATATGAGAGCAAAATAGAGCAAAGCATGAATAAATATGGCTGCACCACTAGTACGAAAGTTGCCTAAATCTATGCATCGATGGTTTCCAGGCACTTGAAACAGCACACCCGGTGATAACAGAACGAATAGCACCACTGCAACAAACACTGGACCCCAGTTCAACATCTTTCCCTTTTCTCTCCGTTGTTTTCCTTCGCCAAACAAGATAATCGGTTTCAGACTCTGTCTAAGGAGTTCAAGTACAAACAAACTCTAAACCTAAACAGACTAGTGAGATATGATTTTCTCGTACTTTTTTTCCTCTCTCTTGTAATGAAATGTGGAGAGAGAGAAAGGGAACTGATTGGTTGAAGTAATAAGAGGGAATGGAGTGGAATGGGAGGGTGGAGAGGGGCTTATGTAAGTGGGGTTAAAGTTATAAAAAATTGGATATGGGAGAGGGTGGGGCGGAAGTTGGTGGATCAAGGCACTTGGATTCGCACACGCTGACCCATTTGCACACACAACAGTCCTGCACGTGGTAACACTGATCATGCACGTGATATTGAGGATGGAATTAGTGTGTTTTAATACTATTGTAATTTTCCCAAAAAAAATAAAATAAATAAATACTTAATAACTAGAGCATTTTTGCTTAACAAGTGGGAAACGACATTTTCTTGACGAGAAACCCATGCAAGAGATGATTCCAAACAAGCTTTGAAAAGAGACACTGCATAATTAAAAACAACCATTAAAGGTTCAATAGAAGCCTACAAATTCATAACAGATTGACAATCCCCCTCTACTACAACATCCTGATATCCCCAAGACTCACGAAGAATCAAACCTTCTGCTAGTGACAGAGCACCGACATTTTCTAGAAAAATTGAAGCAATTTTGATGGGATGACCAAGATGGTTTCGACGAATCAGACCACCTCCACAAACCTTCTTGAAAGGATTAAATGCAGCAGTTAAGAATGATTCACAATGTAGGAATATGTTCGGTTGAATGGGATCCGGTGGATAGAATGGAGATATGCTATCTTATGTAATAAAATAATAATGATAGATAAGTTGAAGTAAAATTTTATAGGGTCGCTATAATTAGACAACTTATGTTTTATGGAGTATAATGTTGGGCTTCAACGCTAAAGGCCTATAGATAATCGAACAGTTGAGGAGATAGAAGTGTGTGAGAGAGAGCCCAATTTTTCGAGTCCAGTTGAGCTTGGCTTGAACATTGCTCGTCAACTCATGCTTAATTCTTTTATCAAATTCAAATTTTAGCTACAACTCAAACTTATAATAAAGATAGATACGTAAATAATTTAATGATAAGTCTAAAACAGTATTGTTTTTTTAAAGGTCTTTTAATGGGGGGATTTTCAATTCATTCAGAAAATTTAAATCAAAGACTTGTGCGATGCAGGGGTTCGAATTTACACTCAGTATACTTACTACGATTTGTCCGAACACCAAAAATTCATCGTACCATCCAATTGTTTATAGGGTCAGGTTCAGAAAACATTCAGGCCTAATGTATATTTTGCCGTAATACTTTCACCCTTATTTGAAAATGTGTGCTAAAAACATTCATATTCTTTTAAAATTGTGCGAAAAAACCCTCAATAAAAAATTTGACATAAAAGTAATATTGTAATACCCATTTTGCTCTTCTAAAAATGTCCAAGGAGGTGTGTATGTTAATAATCTTATAGTATATGAATGTTATGTGCACATTAACTATATTTAACGCACTTTTAAGAATTTTCTCACTTTTTTGAAAAAAAATTCTCTCCATATATTTTGGCTAACGGTTTATCTTTTTTAAATTAAAAATATATATATTATCACTATTGTCAAATTAATGTAAAGTAAATCATATGAAATGAAAATTTCAATTCATTTTATAATTAAAAATAAATAAAAAATTTATTCTCAATTAAATTTTGATATGATTATCCATTTTCATTATATATATAATTAAAAATTTTAATTAAAGATACTTATTCATTATATATAAACAATATACATTTAACTTATAAAATTTTAGAATTTACAATAAATTTTCACACCTACATATATATATATATATATATATATATATATATAATTTTTCACATAGCAACAAATGGGTATTGTATCTTTATTGAGAAAAAATAAAAATAAATAAATGGGTGTTTAAAAACTTACCATTATCGTATTATTCAAATCGCTATAAAATTACGTTCTCAATTAAATATAACTTTTAAAATCAAAATATTCAAAAGAACAACAATTTATAAAGTGCAGAAAATACCTATATAATATGTTTAAAGTGTATATCATACCCTCATATACTAAATGATTATTTTCGTTAATTCATAAAATGATATATATTTAAATAATAATATATAAAATGTGTATATAAAAATAATTTAATCAAAATATAATTTAAATGTGTCAAGAGGAACCATTTGCATCATACCCATGTGCACCTTTATTGAAACTTTAGAAGTATGTTTTTTACCCCATAGACACTCTAAACTGGCAATTCGAAGCCCGAGCTGGCAAGCTGATGTTGAGCCACGATGAGACAGATAGGGTTATCAAGTGCCACGTGTCAGAATTGTATGGTTTTGCGTGGCATTTGGAATGTTTTGACCTTCATATTTAGTGCAACTCTGAGATCAATCAACAGAAAAAGAAAAGGAAATAAAAATTGTCACATCGAGAGAGAGAGAAAAAGAGATGGAATCGGAGGAGGACAAGATAGAGCTAATACAGATTGCAATACAACAACTAATGGAAGAAGAAAAGACTGATTACAACAAAGACCAAACCCTCCTCCTCTCCAGATTGCTTGCTCAGGTGAAACCCAAAACCTATCAATTACTCTCTTTATATCTCTCTCCCGATTAAATTGTTTGGTCACCAACAAATTGATATATAGGGCTAGGGTTTTCTAGGGCTTGATTTAGTTTTTTTGTTCCTAGTTCTATGGCTTGATTTAGTTACAGAAGAAAAAATAAATAAATAAAATTAAAATTTGCATCTGTTTTAAGAAAGAAACATATGTCTTTTAATGTTCCATGTTGCATGAGAGATTCAATAAGAAATTGCAGAACCTTATTTTGATTGAATGAATGTGAGTAAAATTGGAAGGAACTGCCAGAAATTTGTATGTGCTATGACAGAAAGATTGGAACTAAGATAGGGAAGTTAAAGAGATGGACCATGTTTTCTTTTTTAGTGGTAAAGAGGAAAAGCACCCGTTAAGTTCAGTGCACGAGGTTTCTGCTATTGCGAGGTCATATGCAAAGAGACTTTTAGGTTTTCTCATTCAAACTCGTAACTTTTTGATTAAGTGCACGAGTCTTCTGTCATTGCGGAGTCTAATGCAAAGAGTATATGTTTTAGGGTGTCTCCTGCTATTGCGTAGTCTAACACAAAGAGGCCGTTTTAGGTTTTTTCATTCAAACTCGTAACTTTCAGGTCACAATTGGACGGAGACCCACGCCTTGTAGTTGAAGGGAAGAAATGTAGAAGTCGTGGGACGGCTCCCAATTTTGGGAAATGTCTTTTTATTTCCTCTCATATCTTCCATTCCCCTTTTCCTCCTACCAGTCAGTGGAAAAATTATCCAGCCCCACCTTCCCTTCTTTTTCCTATTTTTGTTCTACTAAAGGGACAAACTCTTAACTAGTTAGAGGTGTCTTTATGGACATTGGATCCCTTTTTCACTTCCCTTGCCTACATTCATATTGTTTTAATTCATTTTTCTTGAGTTCATTCGAGTCAAACACATATATTTTCTTGTGTTTTTAAGTTAAAAGTACCTTTTTTATTCAAAAAGGATTTCAAATTATGAACGAGTGTAAAATTCAGCATCATCCTACGGAAACTTGGAAAGCTTATTATTGTGCTCCGTAATTTGGTTTCGAAACTATTTGCTTAGCATCTGTACTTGTTGGTTTTTGAATTTCGAGGGAAATGAACCGTAAACATCATAATGACAAATCATTATAATTATCTTCACCTAATTCCATAGATTCTGGCACCAATATAACTACCATAGCTACAACAAACTAATTCTAGCACTGATATTGTCCATTTCATCACCATTCACTGCAAACGTTGTATCAGTGCTATCAATCCACTTCTGACATTAATGTTATCGTGGAGCCACGACCGGTCATCTAACCACCACCATCATCATCAAATATGCCAGCAACCATTTCTGGTGTTGCAACCTTAACCACCATCATTGCCATCACGAACTCCGTTGCCCTGTTTGTCAATGGCTCCACCAACACAATGGTGTCGTGCTCCATTACCCCGTACTCACCACCTCTATTACTTCCATCTACCACGTGTTGCACTTTTGAATTCCAAAGCATCTTATTTGCTTGAATTTGAATTATTTTGTAATAAGATTGGAGAATATTTGTATAATTCTGTAGAGAAATAAATTTATATGTTTCTTGTCATTTGTATTAACAGTTGGAAACATTCAAAGTAGATAACGAACTTCTGCAACCTGAACCATCATCTGATCCAATAGGGGTAGCTTTCCCTGCAGATGGCATATTGGGGACAGAGACGGGGCCTTCTGAAGAGGTGGATGGCGGTAGCATTGAAGTTGGAAGAGATGAGATTGTCAAAGAGCTTAGAGAGGTTAAGAGGCAGAATTTCGTAACTCATTGCCTTCTTTCAGCTGTGATTTTCCTCACTCTTGCATGGCAGATATCTGAGTTCTCTCTGATCTTGAAAGTTAAAAATGGATTGACCAATCCTTTTGGTTTTGTCGGTGGCATGCTCACAGGGTTCCTAAAACGTCCCGGTAAGAATGACCAGGATGGGGAGAAACAATCCTCGTCAACCCAAAAGCATACTGAAGCCCCCGCACTCCCAGTCAAGATTTCGGAACTTCCTCATATCATACAGGGTTTGGGTTTGGATGGGGATGATGAATAGTGATGAATTCTTACTCCTATGTCCGAAATGAGCGGGGGAAAAGAAATGGGTACTAGGGAACCTGTCTCCCCAGTCAACATTGTCCTCCTCCTATCTTTGTTGCAAAATTGTACAAGACAATGTATGACATTGTTTAATTGTTAAATGTGAGTGATGAAGAAGCATTTCTGGTAGAATTTGTCTTTTCCTTTATCTTTAAAAAGAACAAATAGAGCATATTTATCTTTTCCTTTCTGGACAAAAAAGGTTTCATTTGACAGCTGTTCTAAATGGTGACTACTTGAGCAGGATCACTAACTGATGAACAATTTGATTTAAGGGCTGTAGTCAGTAATTCTTCTTGTCAAGGAGAAATTATTACCATGGTTTGGGACTACACGGTCCTGGCCAATCACAGCCTGACATGCATGCAAAAAGCTAAATAAAAGGCAAAAAGCTGAATAAAACTGATACATTTGCTTGCATGTCAGATTGTGATTGACCAGAGCATGCATGTCAGATTGTAATTGACCAGAGCAATGTAATCCCGAACCACGTAAAAATTTCTGAGACACTGCCGGTTTACCTGTGTACTTCACCTCTCTGCTTTGCACATTTTTATAGATCTTTCACATAAGCTTTGAGTATGCGCAAATAATACCATACAAGAAGTTGAAGTTAACAAAGTGAAAAGAAACATGAGAGAGCCTGCACATCCACCTAACTTGATGGACTCCCAACACCAGCAAGCAGTGTTAAATTTTGCAAATGGACCAAAATGGACAATTTACTTCACGGTATTTACCCAAGCATTTTCTTTGGCAATTGATTTACCTCTGTACTTTGATGCAAAAATGACTCCTCAAATCACTTTTGAAATGCAGATTTTAAAACCTTAAATCTAAACGAGATCATTACGCTACGTCTTCAAGAATCTTGCATTCAGTACAAGGAAGAATGTTTTCTACAAATCATCAATCACAAAAGCTCTTCAACACACAAATCATTAAGCAAGTCTTCAAATATCTTGCATTCATTTCAACAAATCAATCACAAAACGCAGCAAATCATTAAAGCATAACCAATCCAAAAAAAATCCACAGATTTCATTCCAAAAGTCTGGCACTAATCGGCGAAAAACTGATTTGTTTGAGGGCATTCAGGCGGGCATGCATTCTCCACCTTTTGTATTGAGCTATCCTCGTCTTCATGCATAGTTCAACCGGAAAATGTCGTTCAACACATAAAAGCTACCCTGTGGTGTTGGCATCAAATGGAACATCTGGAACAAAAAAGATGAGACGAATAAATAAAAAAAAACACAAAAGGTCAACAAGGCATTGTCAGGAATTTGAAACAAGAGTAGGAGCTCAATAAAGCCTACTTCAAAAGGGAAGAGCAAGGTAAATAAAGCAAAGTCATTATTTATCTCCTCCCACTTTAAGTCCACAAAAAGACATAAATATCAAACTTTTACCTGTATATATGATAACATAAAAACCTAATATGTATTTAGAAGGAAAAAAAAAAAAAAAAAAACCTACTATGCATATTTCCTTGTAATTTATAATCTCGGTATTACGTGTCTATCTAAGATATGATTGTGAGAGATTAGCAAAGGGATAATTAACAAACATCAAATGGAAGAATCATCCATTGGCAAACAGTTGGACAGAAGCTTCTGTCAAAAATGGAATACCAAACCAAATGCTCTTCTATCCTTTTGGACTAAAGCATGCAACACTTATTTCCATAATAATTCATATTTTAAACTCAAGCGAAACCAAATTTAAGATCCCAAATAATAGATTATGTCAGGATACCTCCCTATCCCGTTCCCTTGTACCTAAGGACCATCCATTTATTACCTTAATCTTCGGATTTACAATGTTTCAATATTTACATCTCTTTTTTCTAAGAAGAGAGTAAAATAGAGGGAAGCACTGTTGGCAGTGGTAATGTTTACATCTCCATAAATGTTATATACAACATGCAACTCAAAGCATGTACACGAAAAAAAATAGCAAAAGCATGGCATTCAAGGATGAACATATGTTTAAATGGAATTTCTCATCCTATAAAAAGCTATCGAAGGCAAAGAATGAAACACAGAAAATGCCTCTTGTACTGATTGTGCCAAATTCATTAGGTGAGAAGCCCGCACAAAGAAAGGCTCTAAATCATTAAAAATGTTAGTGAAAGCTCCTCAACAAGTAGTGAACTGTTTTCTCCTTCTAAAAATGATCCTCAAGAAAATAGGATTCACTGCATAAAAAGTGAAAATTGTTACCAAGCATACCAACCCAATAATCAAGGGTGCTACGAGAGATACACTGGGTATGGACATCATTTGCACATAATTGTTACTCTCAGACCCAAAACCTACACTTGGTGGCCAGAGTGTTATCACTGCATATAACCACTGTACTCACAAATTTCAATAATTACGTAGTATCTGTAGTGATCTTATTATAAACCATTTTTTACTAAATCTTTAGTCAACATGTTAAATAATAAATAATATTTGAATGCCTGTCCTAATATATATGTATTTGATGTCAATAATTAACAATCCCATCATCGCTTGGTTCCCTAGCCTATTGGCAGCAACCTATCTTCCTAAGAAGCAGAGGATTGGTGGATCCAACAGTGGTACTTATACGCACTCAACACCAATCATCATCCTGGAATAATTACAAATCCCTAATATCTAATTTCAGAATTCAATATGTTGAAGAAAAGAAAAAAAAAATGTCAACCAAGAAAATCATGAAACTACAATACTGAAATATGTTTTAATATAAAAAGATAATTGTTTGTTAAGTAATCACATCTTGATATTCCTGAACATCACATGAACTCATTCATTTATGTTTAATTGTAAAAAGATAATTCTTTGTTAAGCAATCACTTTTAATATACCTAAACAGCACAAGAACTCATTCTTTTGCTTAACGGATAACTACAGTACTACCTGTTGATGATAGTAATTATATCATTGAAAAATTGCCACACATCCACAGACTACACACACTTTAAGAAACAAAGTCAATGCACTTCCAGTAAAGGAGATGGTTAAGGCCGGCAAGGAAATTTATTTACATAAAGAAAACTATTTTCCTTAAAAAATTGCCTCCCCTCCAAATGCACATTTCAACTCAATAACCAAACAAAAAAATTTTGCTTTCTTGCTTCCATTGCCAAAAAACAGTGTCGTTTTCAAATGCCAAAAGGAAATATATTTATGTTACAATGAAATAGCTCTTTCATAAGAAATCAGTATGAAGATGGGTGACCCAAAAGTTGAACTGATTAATTTAATAAACTGCTCTAGAAATTGATAAGAGCAGTGTGCAAGTCGTTATTGTCTAAAGGCATCAAGAGTAATAGCTGAAGTGCAGTTGATGGTATAAACAAAGTAATGCCATAACAACCCAACATGTTCATAGCCAGCCACATAAAGATCCAAAGAGGCAGTTAGAAACATTATCCTTATTAATGCCAGTTGGTTCAGAAGAAAACTAATAGGAACCTTTAATTTGAGGAGACCCTGGATTTCAATAGTTCAAGAACTAAAACTAAATTTTATTTGAGTCAAACACAAAGAAACTACGAACGATTTCCGTGGTGACCGAACAGCTCGAGGTAAACTAGTTACTCTGTTTGAACTTTGAAGACTACTGAATGATGAAACAATGAGAAATTGAAAGAGACACGGAAAAAAAATTGCATCCAAAGGACTAGATAGATATAATACCACAACATAATGTCAAGTTTTTCTATTTTACTGACAGTGTGGCACATGATCATTCATGAAAACCACCATAAAATTAGAATCTTTTAAAGATTGCAAAAGTATGCCGGTCATAAATCATGTACAACTGGTCCCAAGAAGCATGGTCATAAATACCATAATATCTTTAAGACAAACATGTTTTTTTAAAATGTAAATTATATCATAACAATATTTTGAGATCTAAAATCAAAAGAGTTGTCAATCTGCATTTGCCCGGTATATTAGAGGAAGGCTTACCATAAACTCTAGAGATTGAGAAATTCCATTGGCTTCCTAACACTAGGAAAATGACTTCTCAAGCCAAGGAATCGCGGTAGTTAAAAAAGATTTACTTTTGAAAGGTCAAGGGGAGGCACACGATCAGGATCATTTTGTTTCTTGGGGTACCCGAACCAAAAAGCTTGTACTTCCAAGGGCAAGGAAGTTCAACTCTCTAGCTCCAGTCAGAGTGGTTCCGCAGTTGAGTGTTTTAGTTGCCATAGCAACCATCATATTACTTCCCAATTCCACATTGCATAATGACACTATATAATGGAAAAAGGAACCTAATATTAACAAAATGTTGATCAGGTAGTTGACCTTTTGGGAAACCCTCTAGATTTCAGAAAGAAAGATGGAAGACTAGCAAATGCAGGATAAAACCTGTAAAGTCATCATTGATGGAGAATATACTACGAACGAGGTTCCAAAATCAGGTGTTGCAAAAATGTAGTTCAAACTCCAACAACCTCCACACTCATATAAGGTAGCTCGTGTGGACATGACTCCTTTCCAATCTCAGAGATATGTTTAGTGGCAATTCAAACGCGTAACTATTCAGATAAGATTTGGTATTACATCCTACCTCTGGATGTTGCTCAAGTACTCCTTGGGATCACCCTGACTTTATGATTTGGATGTGAGCCATCATTGAAAAGAGAATAGCTATGTTTTTAAACACAACAAGAGAACTCAGCCTCATACTGTCACATCTTGAAAATCCTCTAACTTCTTGTGACTTCAGGAGGTGAAGCCATTATCATGTCAGATGGAATCCAAGAGACATCTTTAGCCACAAGAGCTAAACTAGTTCATTTGCCTTCTTTCTCAAATACTTTTCCTATTTAAAGAACAGAGGCATTTCTTTCTAGAATGCTAATAGGAAGACCTATGTCCTTTTTGTTACTCAGAAGGTTTTGCAGGCTATATACAATAGTTATCCCATTGTACTTAACTACGTAGGTATTCTCTTATCCATGATTAGTCACATCCAAATCATAAAGCCAAGGGAGTCACTATCATGTCAAAATAGAATCGAAGAGACTTCTTTATCCACAAGGGCTGACACTAAACAAGATGCTTTGGTGATACTTAAGGTAAGTAATATTATAACATGATCAAGGAGCTGAACTACGAAAAGTACTTGAAAAAGTGAAGTATATGGAAGGGGCAGTACAAATATCCACAAAACAAGAGGCTACGGAACCAACACCTTCGAAAAATATCACTAAGACAACAGTAATGGAAGGGAAATAAATGGAAGGAAAGGGCACAAAAGTATGTTAAACCAAGTTTAAATGGAAGTAAAATTACCGCACAAGTTACCTGTATCAATGAGATTAAACTTCTAAAAATTGGAGTATACACGCTAATTAGAAACTATAAGGATGTGTGGACATTGGGGCATACAAGTAATTAGAAATTATAGGATGAGCAAACACTCAAATATTTTTTATACATAAACAAAAAGCCTAATAAATGATGTGGCATGGAACTTCTGAAATTAAAGGATCAGAGGATCAAATTTGTTAAGACATTCGGTGATGAAGTGACAGCCACTCCAGCTGATTAATGGTTCTGGTAGTTTCAACCAGTATATCCAGCATCAACCCTTGTAAGGAGGGAGAGAGAGAGAGAGAGAGAGAGAGAGAGAGAGAGAGAGAGAGAGAGATGAATCCCTCATTCCAGAACCAGCATTATATGCTGCACTACAGTGAGAAATTTAGTCACTTCTTCATATCATCCAACACCAGAAATGTATAAAAAAACACAAAACCTCATGAGCATCAATGATCTATTATCCCCAACTTACCCTTCAAATTACAGGGCTAAGGACGCTAACAACGGTACTGCTTTTCTAAGATTAGAGTACGCAAATATGAAAGGAAACAGAATCATACAAGAATCTTTAAGCTTATAAGGCAGGTAACCATTCCCGGGAATTTTTAGATGCCAACACAAAGGTTAATCTACAAGAGTTCTGAATTGTTGCCTTAGGTCAGAACATTGTTACCTCCTACATCAGGTTTTAAAGCAAATGTGGATGCATCTTTTTGTGCTTTAACTCGTGAAGGAGCGGGGGATGGCCGACGTTGTGATGAGAGAATGCAGAGGTTGTACTGTGAAGGCTACATTGTGTTACATGGATCATATAGCCAATGCTTTGATGGCAGAAGTCTGGATAGTAAGACACGTTGTGCCAACTTAAGTGGAATTTTTCCCAGTTGTAGTGGAGAAAATTTCTCAGACAGCTATGAAGTAGATGTTCTTTTCATTCTATTCAAGTGACGTTAGATGATATATATCAGTTGATGCAGCAGCATAGATATTTGAAGCTTTAGTGGGCGCTTAGAGAATGTAATCAATGTATCAACTCATTCGGCGCAAATGGGCTTTTGACAAACGAATTACTTATATATATATCAGATTTGGATAATATACTTTCATGTTGGTAGCTAACCTGTTGGTGAATGTACCAACTCTATTTGAATATGGAATTAGGTTGATTGCCTTGATATACATATATACATATATTAGTCAATAGGATAGGGCCAGGAGATCAGTAAGTGTACTGAATACAGTATGATCAAGGGAAGACTAAAATAGAAAAAGGCAAATGGAGAAACACTAGATCTACCAAGGAGAAATGAATCAGTGGACTGCAGAGTATAAGCATCAGAAATATTCATTTTCATCAATACATCAAAAGCAAAAAAGGCATAGCAATCTATATGGTTAGATTTCAAGATAAAAAAAAGTAGCTTCCATATACAATACACACAGTAACAATTCTAATCCTAACGTCATCAAAGACAAGCAATCCGTAAAGCAGTAGCACATAGCAAAATCAAAACCCTCCATATATTCGAAATCCACACTACCGTATATAGAAGTTCCAAAATCAATCAACAACAGATCAGTCTCTTAAAACCCTAAATTGACATAACAACAAATCCAATCTATACGTGTTTGTTTGTATCAAAAATGGATAAATACTCCTCCACAATGTACGTATATAGATGCGTACCTGGCTGAATTTAAGGGCGTGCTGTTCGCCGGCGAGTTGGAGGTTGCCGCTGACGAAGACGAGCATGCCGCCGGCGGGTCCAGAGGGCTGGCAATCGACGGTGGTGATGCTGTGCTGGCACTGCTGGAAGGGTAGGCTGGTGAGCTTGGCGACGATGTTCTGCGACCCTTGGATCTTCTGACCTTCGAAGCTCAGCATCGACGATTCCTGATACAAGTTGGCCAGTCCCGTCCGATTCGCATCGAACGTGGTGTAGTAGTGCTCCACAAACGCCTTCGCCACCGAGTCAGGATCCATTTATCTCACACACACACTGTGTGTATATATGTATAGAGAGAGAAAAGATGGGATGAGAGAGAGAGAAAAAGAAGGGTTTTGTATGAACAGACTGAACAGGGGAGGAGGACAAAGACGTGAGATATATATGATGAGAGGCAAAAGTCGTGTCTGCAATATGCTCCTATTTTAAGTCCTTAAATGCAATCTATGATGTCAAGGGTTTGCGTAGAATAAACGCATCTTTTATGGTGGGAAATAAGGAAATTTTTTGAACGTATTTTGGAATTGATTTGAAATTTGTTAGAATTTAATGAAAATAATAATTTTATTAAGTTGAGATTTTAGTAATGTTGCGTTTGAGAGTGTTTTTTAATTAAAATTTTAAATTAAATTTTATTCAATTCTAATTTTAACTTTTAAGGCGTTGAGTAGTCCCAAACATTAGATTAGGAATTTGAATTTGGATTATTTAGAATTTGAATTTGATGCTTTAAAGTTTATGAGAGATGGATACCATCCAGAAATTAAGGAATATAAGTGATTCTATCCGATTTAAAATTTTGACGAATTATCTATTAGTGAATCCATATTCAATTTTATAATTGAATATTCAAATTCGACAAGATGTAAATTCTTTTTAAAAAATAAATTAAATTAAATTAAATTTTAGAAAAGATGAGAGAAAGAGAGATAAGGGCCAAAATATATTTAAAAAGAAAGAGAAAAAATTAAGTATTGATTTTTTTATTTTTTTTTTCAATGAAGAGTGGAAGAAAAATTTATATACTTAAAAGAATTCTAATAGTTTTAGGATAAAAACGTCGACAGCAGGGTTCGAACCTGCGCGGGCGTAGCCCAACAGATTTCAAGTCTGTCTCCTTAACCACTCGGACATATCGACTCGGTGGTACAGATGTGAAAAATAAAATATTAGAACGTAAAATAAGGAGGAGAAAAAGAATTTCCAATCCTTTATTTATCAGATGCAAACAAGGTATCAAATGAAATCGGGAGGTCACATGGTGAAGGAAAAGAATCCACTGATTACGCATTGAACTTTGGAGTTTAACAAGCCAAAAGTAATGGGGTTCAAGTTTCGCTGGGTTTTCGTTGTTCCTACAGTAATTTATCCTACCCAGGTGGAGAAATGCCCCTCCAAGTCTTTGAAGATTAGTCAGATTGTTGAGGAAACCTAAGGATTCGTACCGTCCCGGACACCCCGAGTTAATTATAAAAAAATAATAAAAATAAAAATTGATGAAGGGAAACACTTTAATGCACCTAATAACATGGTATCTGGACTAATTAAACATTGATATGCAGCTAAAATTATAAAACTCTTCTATTGTTTTCAATTTCGTCATATAACTCCCTCAATTATCAAACAACCACTTAAACTAACAAAAACTACCAGTTGCAAAATGACAATAATACCCTTGATAGTATATTAATATTTTATTAAACTTAAATTGTTGATTTTAAAGTGTAAGAAGGGCAATTTCGTCATTACAAATTACAAGGTTATTTTAGTTAACACAATAATGCACATGTTGCACATAATACGATCCCGTTAGTTTTAAACGAGAAATTAACAGAAATGGGTGATTTGATAGACTTTTTAAAATATTAAGAAGTAATATGATAGTTTTCTTAGTTGAGGGAGTTATATAACAAATTTAGAAACAATAGTTTTAGGATTTTAGCCCTAAAATTAACTAAGATAGATGTGTTTTTATATGATATTATAATTGATTGATAATACCTTCTCTGAAAATCTTTACATGATGAAATCATTTGAGAAGGATAATCTTTATATTTTTAATTTTAAATATTAAAAATATATAAAATTCTAAATAATAAATAATCAAAACCTACCCATGATTTTCAATTATATGTATGACATTGATGGTGTCCATTTAAAAGCCTCTATTAACTTTGGGTTGGGAAGTTCACCACTGAACTAAACTGACTGTATTCTTTGCATCATTTCTTCTTTGGAAAGTAGCTACCATTAAATTAATTTCAGTCTCTCTCTTTCTTTCTTTCTTTTTTTTTTTCTTTTTTTAACCCGGCAGGAAACACTCACACACCCTCTTATTCATATAGGACTTGAACGCACACCCACTTGTTTTTACGGGACTTGAATCCTTCGATCAACTTGTCATTACTTCAAAGGAAGTTTCTATCAAAGTCCGATGCCAATTTTCAATTCATCCGGAAAAGACATTTTTTTCTCAACATGTCTTTATTGTTTCAAGGGAAGTCCCTATTGAAGTTCACTCGCTAATTTTCATTTCATCTGAAAAAAAAAAATAATAATAAAATAAAAAATAAAAAAATCATCTTTTTCTCATCAATGTCTTGGTCATTTGATCGTATAATATTCCGTTATATAAGAATAGATTTGAAAAATACGGATAAATCTTTGATAAAGTATTAGAACGAAAAGATCCATTAAATAAGTTTTAAGTAATCCCTGTGACATAATCGGAAGCGATAAATTTGTTCACGAGGAACAGGTTACTTTGAATTCACAAAGTAGATGTTTTGGATTCACAAAACAAGAGATAAATTCATAAAGAATTCTGAAATATTATTGATAAAAGGTTAAATTCTTCTCTTGCAATACATGAATGCTTAAAATAGAGAAAACTTAACACGAGAAGGAAACTAAAATCTAATCATACGAGGAAATTAATCCTATAAATAAGCATAAAATAAATTCTCTCTAAAAAAATCCTAAAAAATAGAATAAGAAACCTAATAAATTAAAAATACTAAATCTAAAATTTTAAAACATTTGGACTTCCTTAAGGCCTCGAACAAAAATCCTGAAATAATCCGCAGACCTCCTATAACACAATAAAGCATTATTTCGGAGCCCTAAACGAAAGTTTTCAACCAAAAACCAATGTTTGTGCGGTTTTTGGTCTTACGCCAGTCGATGGACTCTTGCGGGCATGCCAGAGTATTTGTATAAAATACTAAAAATTATGAATTGAACACCAGTCTATCCTTTTTCCGTGGCTAACTTCAGGCGAGTGTGTGGGAGAGAGAATAGTAAGAACTCCTAACAAAGTTCTTTTTCTACCTTGTTTGTAAGGACTTTTTTATAAAGGTGTTAAAAGAAATAAAAATGAAATTTAAAGCAAATGACTGGTTGAATTGAAATGGATTGAAAAGTAAACTGACCTAATTAAAATAGACTGAAAAGTAATGTTTGCAATGGAATGGAATAGGGCGAATTAAAGTGATATGAATCTAATCAAAGATTTGTCATTTGAATCCATTTGCATAAAACAATAACTAAATTGTAAATAGCATAATTGAGCATTGCAAAAAAAATGATAAGTTACTGGAACTCATATTCTTCGAATAAAATTTGCCATTTGGACAAAAGATTTGAAGATAAAATGGCATTGAGTCATTTGATGAATTTTGAATTCATGTTGTTTTGTGGTTGGTGCTGGACGAATTGGAATGAATTACAATACTTCTATTTATAGAAGTCTTAATCAAAACTTGAAGAATATTTGAATTTTCGCATGTTATGTTGGAGCTTCCCATTTATATCACAAATAAACTGCCTATAAAATAGGAATTTAGTTGTTGCCTTTCAACCAAACTCTAGCCCTTTTTCCTTTACGTTAATAGCCCAATTTGAAATAGTCAACCATTAGTTGCTAAAATTTAGCAATTGCCTTGTAAGCTTGGCAGCCAATTAATATATCCAATATAATTACACAGGTCGTTTCCTTTTCTGCCCATGATATTTCCAAATGGCTGATTTTTATGACGTCATGTTGAAAATACATATTCGCTCCTTATTGGTCTACGTTATCGCTGAGATGGTTGCCAAGTTTTGGTGCCAACAAATGCCCCCTAAATTTCAAATATCTTATCGGCCACTCAGGCTGATAAGATTTTTGGAATTTTTATAACATGAAAGAAACTGGCAGCCAACGAGCTTCTAAACTTTATTTCTTCCGGACCACCTCCAAGTTGGTCCTTATTTTGCGTCAGCCAGGACTGGTTGATCCTGATTCTTCCATTTTTCCCACAAAGTTGCCTGATACCCCTCAAAATATTGGCCATTTATAAACCCATGATAGACCTCACCATTGAAGTTTCCCAACTCTACTAGTAAGGCATGATCGTGATCGGCCGGGATCAAGTTATTATGTAATGTCATTTGGGCCAATCTAACTAGCTTCTCTATTGGAAGAACAACATTCTGCCAGTATAGAGCTTTTCTAATGGCTGATCCTCTTGAATTTTTATACTCCCATGGAACTTCTGAAAGTACACCATCCCATGTTTTTGAATAATTATTTTCTTTAATAACTTCAGCTATATCAGCCGAAAATACCAAGAATAGTATTTCTTTTATGGCCGATTTTTTATCTGCTGGGTAAGTTTTCAAAATGTCAGTGGCCATGATGGCCTAACTCGTCCTTGATTCTTTATTTGACACTTTGGCAACTTGCCAAGGAAGTTTCATCCTCGGCCAAAATACCTTTTTGACGAACTTTTTAAAGTTAACGTCAGCCAGACTTCTTTTTATAGTGGTCGATGTTGGTCGCCCCATTTTATTTGTTTTTTTGAACCTAAATAGAACACGATTCTCTTTGTGTAGCACTGCATCGGCCACATAAAATTTTGCATTAAATGGCCGATTTATTTTCTTCCACAAACTTCTCTTCAACTTAACCTTTTTCAGTTTCCATCCCCGCTTTCTTTTTTTGAAATTTGGTTGAGGTCGAAGAGCTAAAAGAATTCTCTTAGCCAATGATGGTTCTGGCTGAGGATTAGAAACCACTATCGGCCAAGCATTCTGGTAATCTGGCCGATTTGATCTTGAAATTCTTTTACCTTGATAAGAAGTGAATCTTTCTTGAACACTTCTGTTAGAAAACTGAGTTTGAACTTTTATTTTATGAAAAAACTTAATTTCTCGGTCAATACTTTTCCATCCAGGGCAGCAACCGTGTTATATGAGACCCTTGACATTTGGAATGGCTAATGGTGTACTCTCGGCAACCTTAGTTTGATTCCCTTTATCAATCTTCTCTTTGGGAGCCTGACCGATCACATTACTACCTACTATGAAAAAATCATTGTCGACCCCTATGACTTCATCATCCGCTCCCTTTTTGCCCGATACGATAGATGTTCGAGTGCGGATGTGGCTAATTTTGACTTTTTGTACAATGATCGACCTATTCGCCTAAGATCATTACCATATTCTTGCTTAATAATATCAGCCAACTGAACCTTATCGACCGTCGTTGGCTGATTGGGCTGATCAATGACTAGTCGATCTTGATTTACCACCAGCGGCTGATTGACCATCGACTACCACCCAAGTACCAAAGGTTTTGGCTGATGTACCACTAGCGGCTGATTTTCTGCTAGTGGCTGATTATAATTCGATCAGCCTTCTGGCTGATTAGCCATCGGCTGCCCCCCCGAGTCCTGGTGGTAGTAGTTCCTGAGCATAAAGTGGATTTGAAGCTCTCCACCTTACTTGGTTGCCCCCCGGGTTAAAAGGTTTTGGCTAATGTACCACTTGTGGCTGATTTACCGAAGGTGGCTGATTGTAAATCGGCTAACCTTGCTGAGATTGATTTACCACAAGCAGCTGATTTTTCGCAGGTGGCCGTTTGTAAATCGGCCAACCTTCTGGCTGATTAGCCATCGGTTGCCCCCCGAGTCCCAAAGGTTTTGGCTGATATACCACTGGCGGGTAATTTGCCGCTGGTGGCTAATTATAAATCAGCTAACCTTGCTGTAATTGATTTACCACTGGCAGCTGATTTTTCGCAGGTGGCTGATTATAAATCGACCAACCTTGTTGAGATTAATTTACCATTAACAGCTGATTTTCCGTTGGTGGCTAATTATAAATCGGCCAATTTTCTGGCTGGTTAGCCATCAGCTGCCCCCCGAATCCCAACTGATATACCATTGGTGGCTGATAATAATTCGACCAGCCTTGTGGCTGATTAGCCATCATATTTGGTTGAAGCAAAAATATCGGCAGCCACGGCTATGATGGTTAAGCATTCACTACCGGTTGAACAACCTGTGACGAAATCGGCTGAGTGGCCGATTCCTGATTGCTAGAGCTCCCAACCTGAGCCGGCCTATTCATAATGGCAGCTAAAAGCTGAGATTGTTTCGTGCAGGTTGTTTTAACTTGCACTCGTCCTTCCCATCGCTTCTAACAAATAACACACCTGTGTTTGAACCATTGATACTTTTAATGGTATAGCTAATTCATCCACAGGACCCAATGTTAAGCTACCAACTTGAGCTGGCTGATGTTCTTCTTTCGGATCATCGTTTGTGGCTGCGGCCTTAGAGTTTTTCGGCCGCGGCATTGCATATTCTTTTAACACCAAGTGGGGTACCACCGGGCGTGCTAAAATATGTTCACACGGTTTTTGGTCTTATGCCAGTCGATGGACTCTTACGGGTGTGCCAGAGTATTTATATAAAATACTCAAAATTATAAATTGAACACCAGCCTATCCCTTTTTCGTGGCTGACTTCAGGCGAATGTGTGGGAGAGAGAATAGTAAGAACTCCCAGCAAGGTTCTTTTTCTGCCTTGATTGTAAGGACTTTTTTATAAAGGTGTTAAAAAAAATAAAAATGCAATTTAAAGTAAATGCTTGGCTGAATTGAAATAGACTGAAAAGTAAACTAGCCAAATTAAAATAGACTGAAAAGTAATGTTTGCAATGGAATGGAATAGGCCAAATTAAAGTGACATGAATCTGATCAACGATTTGTCATTTGAATCCGTTTGCATAAAACAATGACTAAATTGTAAATGGCATAATTAAGCACTGCAAAAAGAATGACAAGTTACTGGATCTCATATTCTTCGAATGAAATTTGCTATTTGGACAAAAAAAATTGAAAATAAGATGAAGTTGAGTCATTTGATGAATTTTGGATTCATGTTACTTTGTTGTTGGTGTTGTACGAATTGGAATGAATTACAATACTTCTATTTATAGAAGTCTTAATCAATTTATTCCCCTAATTTTTTGCTAGAGAATCTCTTCTTCCTTGATTTTCTCTATCTTCAAATTCAATCTAAGTCGAAACTTGAAGAATATTTGAATTTCTGCATGTTATGTTGGAGCTACTCTTTTATATCAGAACTAAACTTCCTATAAAATAGGAATTTAGTTGTCGCCTTTCAACCAAACTCTAGCCATTCTTCCTTTATGTCAGTAGTCCAATTTGAAATAGTCAACCATTAGTTGCTAAAATTTAGCAACTTACTTGTAAGCTTGGCAGCCAATTAATATATCCAATATAATTACACGGGTCTTTTCCTTTTCTGCCCCTGATATTTTCAAATGGCTGATTCTTATGACGTCATGTTGAAAATACCTATTCACTCCTTATTAATCTACGTTGATGACTGCCAAGCTTTGGTACCAACACCAACATGGCCCACAAGATAGCTATTGGGTTTTTATCAATGCATCGTTTCCACCCAAAAAACACTATTGGTTTGTCGAAAACGGACTTGTCAAACTGCACAGAATTCTGTCCTACATCACTCGGTGATTAATCAACAATTCAAAGTGCTTGGATGGTTTCCCTATTACTCTGAAGTCTCAACTCAACTTAATCCACAATAAACACACACACATACGAGAGAGAAGGCAAGAAGACTGGTCCTTCATAATGTACAAAGTAGACAAAAGTCATGATATCATTTGAATTTGATTCACTCTGCTAATTACATCAAGTGTTGGTTAAACAAAAATGGGCTAACATGAGGAGGACAATATCAATTACCATTATTGAACCTACTACAATATACATGATGCAATCTTCCCTCAGTGTTGAGAAGCTGTTTCATATCATCATCAACTAAATTAATCTCTATAATACAACTCCGATTTTGCTCGGTAAACAATGAAAATGTAACATCTCTTCACAAAATTGCACCTTCTTATTCTTACACAGGAACGAAGATGCAACCCCAGAGCTTCTATGATACACCCAACTCCACCTCCCCCCAGACCTTTCTAATTTGAAGTATCATCCGAAGGCTTGGAATGTGAGTTCTACATTACCAGGAAAAATGATATGGTTCTGCTACACTTTTCTCGTGTAGCAATATATGCAAATTAAATCCTCACAAATAATGCATTGCTTGTATATACACGGTCAAGAAAATGAGTAACTACCCTGTAAAAATCTTCAAACACGAAAATAAAGCTGACTCATTAGTAGTTCATACCGAGAGAAATCATTATGATTAAGGATTTGCCATCTAGATGAATGCTTATAGTTTCTGAAGTAAAGATTTATATTTCGAAAAAGGAGAATGAAACAAAATTTAGAGAACTCACCTTTAAGAAAAAATTTGAACCGATTTAAGCAATCCAAACTGGCTCGAAGAACATGCCCTCATGCTTGCTATCATCGGAAAAGCCTCTATCGAATTTTCCCACTATGAGTTCTGATTCGACACAGCATGAAAAAAACGAGAAACTTCCTGATAAAGTTGTGCAGCCTCAAATGGTTTCGACACATATCCATCCATTCCGCACTTCAGGCATTCCTCGTGTGTAGCCTGGATCACATCTGCAGTCATAGCCAAAATGGGTACATGCCAGTTCGAAACACTTCTGTAAGCTTCTACAAATTGTTCTCCATTTTGGAGACAATTATTGATGCTTTGTTCCATGTCCCGAATTCTCTTTGTAGCTTCAAACCTGTTGTTGGAGCAGGATAGTCAGTGTCGATTCAATAGACCAATGTTTTCATAAGAGTGCTCTCTTGTTGAGCTCTTCCTTTGAGCTGCCGGATGAAGAGACTATTCGTGAGGCTCTCCCTCCAACAGCTAAAAGAGAGAGCTCACATGAGAGCGCTCATGAGAGTTTTTTTCCATTAAAATAAAAAAATATTTAACCATTAAAATTTGTTCATATATATATATATATATTTATATATATATAAAACAGGACATTGATTGGACTAAGACCCAACTATGCACCCAGTCCTGGAGCCAATAATTAATTTCGCCCACACTGAATATGAAAAATAAAATAAAATAAAATAAAAAATTCCCTACTAATACGGAAACTAACAGTACAGCAAGATAGCAAACCGAAAAATAGTGTGCAGTAATCAAGACACAAATAGTGTGTTGTCGATCTCAAAAAAAAAAATTTTTAAAAAATCCAGTATAAAAATATTCAAAAACACAATAAACGGATATTAAGTTTATAGAATTGCAGTAAGAAATTTAAAATAATATAAAATAAAAAGAAAATAAGAGAGAAAAAAAGTGTTACTGCACAAACATCATATATGATTGCAAGAAGAAGAAATTTAAAGAGGAAAAAAAAAAAATTTTGAGAGAACTTTGAACGGGAAAAAATTAGGGTATGATTAAAAGAGGGGGAATGCAAAAAGTTTTCAAGGGAATCAAAGAAGAAAAGAAAGGAAGAATTAGAGGAATTTTTAGAAATAATGAATTTTAGAGGGGGCATTTTGTAAAATTTTTAAAAATTATATACATAAAACTAAAAAATATATATAATATGAGGAGGCCAGCTCAGGGGGAACAGCCCCTGAGCGTGTGTGGTGGCTCCGTGCTATTATGCACCAATTAACTGATATTGTTACTAGCGAGGTATGTCAAAACTAGGTGATGCAAACAGTCACCATCAAATATAAGGCCACCTGCAGCATATTAACATTGCTTAACTTGCCTAACAGACTCTGCTCATCTGCATCAAATGTACATTATTGAAATTTGTCACACGGGAAAATTGGCCCTCAAGATATTATACTATATTCAATAAGCTTCAAAACTGGATGTGATGCATACCCATCTATTTCTGGCATCTGGATATCCATGAAGCAGGCATCAAACAGATGGGGTGGCTTTAACAGTGAAATTGCCTTTTTTCCACTGTCAGCGCAGACCACATCCGCTCCATACTTCTTCAAAGCACCAGCAGCTACTCTGAGGTTTACATTATTGTCATCCACAACTAAAATTTTTCTTCCTTGAAGAAGATTGAGGAGAGAGAGACTGGAGAGCTCTCCTTTGCGGCAATTCCCCTTAGTCCCACCAACCATGGCTCGTAGAGATGCAGCCAGCATACTTGCCCTCAGAGGCTTGTTGATGGGAGTTGGAGTTGAAATGCTGGAGTTTGTGACACTACTTCTTGTCAAGCAGATAGAATTAGCTAGAAGAAACAGTTTTGGAGGAATTCCATGGCTAATCTTCCTTATTTTATCAACAAAGAGAGCTGACAAGACTAAATCTTTATCCCAGACTTCCTGCTCAATAAGGACCATGTCGATAACTGTGTTCCCACTACTTATGCTGGAGAAACCTTGATTCAAATCATAAACTACTTCAACCTGGATACCAAGCCGCTGGATGTGATATCTTGACACTTTGGCACGGACTGGTCTATGGTCCACAACTAATGCTTTCATACCCCGAAATTCTGAAGAAAGAGAGATAGACTGGTTGTTGATTTGCTGGTCCTTGTGCTCACTTGAATTGACGCAGCCATTGGTGAAGACAGCAGTAAAACTAAAGGTTGATCCTATCTTGGGTAAGCTTATAAAACCGATTTCACCATTCATGAGTCCAACCAAACATTTGCTTATGCTAAGCCCGATACCTGTGCCCCCATGTATTCGTGAAATAGAAGGACCCACCTGCATGAAGGGAGTGAATACACGAGATTGGGCTTCTATTGGGATCCCTGCACCCGTGTCCTCTACTGATACAATTAGTTTGATGAGGTTAGAGGATAAAGAACAACTGGGTTCCTCCTGAGTGATAGTTCTGAATCCTGCCCAGCTCTGGCGTCTATTTACTACAGGCAACCCACTCAAGGTATCCTTTGATAATGATTCTTTCTCAGCTTCCATAGACTCCATTACCTCCTCAACGAGATGGACTGTTACAAAGATGTGCCCTTTCTCTGTGAACTACCAAATGAATGAATTATCAGTCCAACGGCTAACTACAGAACAGAAAAAAAAAAAAAAAAAACACACACACAATATAGTTTCAATGTTTACCAACTAATTGTTCGACAGTAGTAACACATTATGCCCGTCAGATCTATATTCCAAACACTATTAGAGAGGTTTTCTTAATAACCCCATAATATATAATTTTTCCAACTGGATATTTTAGTTGTTCCCCATAGATGGACAATGATAGCACTTACTATTGCTTAAAAAAAAAAAAAAAAAAAAATTGATAAGTAAACACTATTGCTTAAAAAAATAAACACTGAACAGATTCTGATGTTGATCATATTCTCTCGAGTGATAACAAACAGAATTATTAATGTACTTATCAAAACAAAAACAAAACAAACAAAAAAACATAATTAATGTTTTTAATGCACAAGTTGTTTTCACATCTATTCAACTAGATCTATAACATATTCCAAGCTTACTTTGATTGAGTTGCCCATGAGATTTGTGATGATTTGCCGAAATCTCCCTGGATCACCAATTAGCATTTCAGGGACCCTATCAGAGATGTAAACTGCTAACTGCCCTCCCATATAATTAAAAGATGCCAGTTAGTCCAGACATAAGCAAAGAGAATTGAGCAAAACATATGGAGGAAACAATTAATGCAAGATATATTGGTTACCTCCACTCCTTTTTCTTGAGACTTCGTAGAAAAAAGTGACAAAACATCATCCAAAATTGCTCGCAGCTCAAACCGTATTGCCTCAAGTTCGATCTTACCAGCTTCAATCTTTGCTTGGTCCAAAACCTCATTTATGAGGGAGACTAGAGCTTTTCCACTGGCCTGTGCAGTTCTGACATAATCTTGTTGAGTTACATCTAGGTCTGTGTCGATAAGCATATCCAACATTCCTGTAAAAGAGGCATATTTAGACTATCACTGCTCAGCAAGTCTTACTATTTCTCCTTTTCTTCTTATTTCCCTCTGTGTGCATAAATATTTTACCAATCAAAGATAAGGCAGTATATAATGTATATTTAAATGACTCAATAAGATAAAGGAAAATTCATACTTACCCAAAACACCATTCATCGGGGTTCTTATCTCATGGGAAACAGTAGCAAGGAACTACAGAAGGTTGAGATTCAATTAGGATCAAGCAGACATATTAGATGAAGCCTAAACAAAGTTTGGGCAATTAAACTAAAAGCAATAATACCTGTGATTTTGCAACATCTGCAGCCTCGGCCCGTTTTTTAAGCTCCTCCATCTCATGGAAATCATCCTCAACTTTAGCTATTCGATTCACCGTTGCATGGAATATATGCCCGATAAGCAATGCTATTACAAGGATGCCAATAAAAGTTGTTATCGCTAGCCATGGCCACGGTGGTTTTTGTTTGAATCTGTGTCAAGAACAAATTTATTTTGTAGGTTCATTTGAATTACTTTGAATCTCAATTGTTAAAATTTGTAATCCTTTCAAAATCCATGTTTTTTGGTTTGTTAAGAACTGCCAGAAATGCAAATCAGAGGAATTTTGGCAAGTCCTCTTATTTTCAAGTGGAATGACTGAATGAAGTGACACTGCATGTGGATGTGGCAAAATGAGATTGGTAACCAAACAAAACAACCTAGCAGAGTCTAGTGCCAAAATATTCAGCAACGAAGCGGGTTGAACTATTACCTGCAACGCATCTCATGCTTTCTGAACGGATCGCCGAAGTTAAGGGCGCTAACATGCTGCAACCCATCATCTGATACATTTGAACCATACATACTGATGGGGTGCGAAGCGTTAGTGGTATCATACACATTCACGAGGATGGTTCGTTTGCTTGCAAGCTGTTGTAGTAGCTTCTCCACAAGTGATTCAATATCAAACACCCCCCCAAGATACCTGCTTGGTAGAAGTGGCAAAAACAAATTGATCTTATTCAATCCATGTTGTAGAAGTTTTGTACTATTATCTATATTACAAAAACCGAATCATAGACATCACTTGAGGGTCCTCAAACACTACACTAACTGACATAATTTTATTTAAATTTATTGTCTTCTAAAAAATGTATTTCTGGTTCAATAAGATTAGTTCCATTTTCAATTTAAGAATATAATCATCATTCATTCTATATTTCTTCTTTCTTCTCTGTTTCTTCTGGAGGGGTTAATTATTTGAAGTTTCTTTCTTTATACCGTATAACTTTTGCATGTATTAATCAATTCTGGTTTCTGGTTAAAAACATACCCGTCGGTTGCTTGAATCCTCTCATTTGGGGTTGCATTTGAGGGGAGATCTGTCTTATAAACAGCAAATGTCAATATAACTCCAAGGCGATTTGACTTGATTAGCCTAAATGGGGCTGTGAGAACCCCCTTTCCAAATGCTCTTGCGCGCAGCACATTTTCACGATCTTCCTGTAGGTACACACGTTTTTAAATATTGACTATACCGGACAGCAATTCTTCTTTTTCAGTCAAGCGGCATTTGGTTCAAGAATATTAATGAAAAGTTTTCTAAATCATAAGCATGATTGTCAGAAGTCCAGCTGTTGCTAAAAAGGTTATGGGACTGTTCTACAATAGTGGATCTTAATATCACCATGCTTTTGGATTTCTACAAAATATGATATCCAATATGATTACAGAAAAGGTAAACTTTAAGGTCACATAGCTGAAAAGATTCAGTTAATGCAAGATATGAAGAAAAAGGACAAAGAATTCACCTTGCCGGACATCATATCGAGGGAAATCACGTGTGAAATGGTATCCTGTGCAAAGATAACAGGGGCATATTCCTCCCCAATTGGGGATGGCTCCAGGGCTTCTGGGTTGTACTCATCCTTATGGACTGGGGTTTGTTCAACAGTATCCATCCTCTTAATTGTCCAACCTTGTTGTTTCTCAAATTGTTCCCTTTCTGAGTGGAGCACCCTCACAGCATATGCCACACCACTTGTGAGGGGCCTCTCAAAAGCAGTTCGCTCAGTGTACCTTGCAAAAGTTTTCTATAGGTTGATAAAGTTAGATTTTTGCTTTTTTTGGATTGGACATTTTAGATCAAAGGAAAATAATTGGATCTCACTCTGAATAAAAGCACCACTATTAAGAACTAGAATTCAATTTAAGCACGCCAGATCTGAAATTACAAAAATGACCCACATGTCACACCCTGAACCTAATTTCTCTAGACCCTGAGTGATAAAACAGCTGAAATATTTAAACTATGTCTCTTAAAGAGTAAACAATACATAAAGGTTCAGATATTTGTCTAAAGAAATTCTGACAACACACTTACAAATTCATAACAAGAGATCTAAGATGCCAGTCCTTTTAAAATCAAATTCAATTGAAAGCTCACTTCATTTGTTTCTGGAAAGATTTATTATTAAGAGGAAAATCAGACCCTTGCTTTTCTTTTCTTATTTCTAAAATCTGGTCTCACTGTGCAAAAAATGTAGATTCACTCTGATTAACCTGTGGTATTTTGGTTACTGTAGAATCAATTCTAAGAATTTGAAAACAAGCTCTACCATTTCAGAAAATAGATTGAATACGCTTTCATTCCATATAAGGCAAAAAAAATAAAATCTAAGTTTATTAGCTAAGCTTTTCTGCCAAAAGACACTGTTATTGCTGCCAAATAGCAAAGTTTCTGCAGGAGCTTTTAAATTTTCACATTCAAACATTCACTGTGATTAAAACTGACAATTTTAACCCCAAGGAGTTGGCCTAATTGGAAAAGACTTGAGCCCTGGTGCCTCATGAAGCATCAGGTCTCAAGGTCGACAGGGTCGATTCCTATTAGGTGCAAACAATTCCTTGGAGGGGGGTTGTGTACCAACGAGGGAAAAAAAAAAAAAAAAAAAAAACTGACAATTTTTACTGCAAATCATATTTTTCTACAAAGGAATAAACATCCAAATTATGAAAAAAATAATAAATATGTTTTAGAAAATTTGGACTTGTGAGATGTTTAAAATAAATCTTTTGAGCATGATTCCTTCAGAAATTCTCCTGGACAGCACAGCAGTTGGATATTTTAACTTACTTTAGCTAATCCAGTTCATATCAAAACGCTGTAAAATTTTAGTATGCCATAGTTATGTGGGTTATATTGACATTTTGAGTGGACCAATCTCATTTTATGATTTTATCACGTCAATAATTGATGCACTTCGATTGATGTTACTGCTGTTCAGCACAAGTACACAATCAAACTAGATACCAACTAGTAAGCTTTTAATAATGAAATGAAGTTGAACCATTATGGAAAATCAAGTCCAAAACCTCAAGAATTTGAGACTACTTAATACATAAGGACAGTTAGGATTGTGTGCCCTTCATGGAAATGAATGGGATGTAACTGACATTTGTTTATTAATGGAATCTGGGTTCTCATTAAATGCTCTACATATTTATTTATTGAATGCTTGTATTGGTCGGTCCATGAGATGGATCGTGGTTGTCCCTTTAACTATACATGTGATTTATATGTGTATGATGGGTGTTCATGCACGGGGAATATGAATTACAGATAATGCATTATCATAAAATGTTCGCATTCAGTGATAGAGAATGGACTCTCTATCTAAAAAGAATGGAAGTGGATGAACGATAAGTTGAGATGATTGCGAGAGCTGTCATAGTAATTGCTCCTTATCAATGTCATGCCGATTGACTCTCAACCATGAGAGAGGTATGGACTTGCTTTGATTTATTCAGTGGGCCCCGAAGGCCTATAACCCGGGTACTTCGGGAAGCCATTGATTATTGACATTGGAACATACTCTCAAGATTGCATCTATGCTATATTATTATTAATATTATTATTTTACATGATTAGTTTGAGCAACATAAAATCCGGTGGCCTCGGTGATTTGATAAAATGATTTTATATATATTTATTTATTAATTATATTATTTTTTGTAAAAGGAAAGTTTTTTGTCGTCAAACGGAAAATAATCAAGGAGTCAAACTAAATGATCAATTTTGTATTGGATTGATGGCATTTATTTATCCAATAGCTAATCGAGTGTTGATGGGTCATATCGTAAATTGACTTTGTGGTTTAACCATTTCTCTAATTGGAGTGCAACCATTCTTATATAGTAGAGTTGAGTTTGGTTATAGGTTGATTTGAATTGGGTCATGAGATGATCGAGTCAATTAATTAGCCCATTGGAGCCCAGAGGAGAATTTGCCCAATATTTCCTCACGTCTAGCCCAAGTTTTTGAACTATAAGCTAACGAAAGTGGGAAAGTAAGTAGAGATGAGAGACTGCTATAAGTCCTATAGGAGAATTAGAGGGTGATATTATCACTCCTTTAGGTCTCCTCTGTGTGTGTGTGTGTGTGTGTGTGTGTGTGTGTGTGTGTGTGTGTGTGTGAGTGTTAAAAGGGCTCACAACCCTAATGGTTGTCTTGCATTGTGAGAAGAAAAAGAAAATCTCTACACATTTTTCTCTCTCTAGGTTTCTCATACTCTTTAAGTATGTAGTTCAACAAAGAGTCATAGAGGTGACATTTAAAGGCAAGGAACTAAAGAGGAAGAAGGAGAGGCTTGAAGAAGGACTTGCTTTGCCTCATGCACTGGACGAGCCCTCACTTCTTTGCTCTTACTTGGCTCTCTCTCTCTCTCTCTCTCTCTCTCTCTCTCTCTCTCTCTCTCTCTCTCTCACGGCACCAAACATTTTCTTTTCCTCCTACTATGCTTTTCCTAGTGTCTGTATATGAACATGACTATACATAAATACATACATACATATATATATAAAGTATATGTCTCACTAATTCTGTGAGAAGTGGTTTTTATCATGTATACTGGGGAAGCAGATCATGGTCATTGTTGGTGTGCATGTGTGAAGCTGTGCATATATGTGTTGTTCGTTTTAAGCAGCATGGGTTTAGTGGTGTGCTTGTGTAGTAGAGAAGAATTTACTTGATTGAAATATGACCCAGATTGTAGGCTATATAACGCATGTGCATCAGGGGTGTGTGTCTGTGTGTGTGTGCATGGTTATGGAAGTTCTGCTATAAAAACACAGGTGTCTATACATACAAGTGTGAGGTGTGCTAGGGAGTGAACTTGTGTAGAATAAAGGCACATGTGTGAGCTAAATTAATAGAAATGATCTAATTTAAAGGGTAATTTATCACTGAACCTATCGACAATATTATACTCATTGGACTCGTCTTCTAACAAGAATCCTAACCTTGATATTATTTATTTCAACTGGAATTTGTATGAAAATGTTTTGGATTCCAAACAGCTCTAGGGGAATTTTTCATCATTTTATCTATCCTAACCTAATTTACTCCTAATTGAGCCCAAAGGTTTTCGAGATAGCAGTTAACTATAAGAAATCACAATTCCTTGCCAAACAACTCATAAATCATTTTAATTTTGAAAATACAAGTCATCAGTCATCGCACCACATAAAAAAGAGGCTAGATTCAAGCACCATAGGTAGGCAACTATAGACGGCTGCATTATCTAGTATGGCAATTGCTCGGAATGAAGGAATGTAGACTCAAAAGTAACCAACTCGATGACTGAACCAAGCAAAAACATCACAATCAATATTCTATACTGAATACCCAATATATATATAAATAAAATCAACAACTGGAACTGCAAGTGAAAACAAAATTATCAATCTCTACCCAATTTAGTAGCCCAAACTTCACAGAGATGAGATAAGATCAAAGTTACCTGATCAATAGCAGATGGGTTCTTGCCATGGTGGAAGGTTGAGATCAAGATGGACACAGCCTGTACATGGTTCATGCTCACATTAAACTGATCCTGCAACATCCTAGCCCTCTCATCACACATGCTTGCAAGGGTCTCTTTCCTCTTTTCCATGGCTTGAGAGCTCATGTACCAGAAAACCCACACAGACACTATGGTCCAAATCACTACCCATGTGACCAAAAGCTTCCTCCACCATGTTTCCCTCACTCTCTTGGACCCAACATACTGGTAGTAGTGATGGTGGATCTTACTACTGTTCCCTGAGATCTTCTCCCAAAATTTCAGCCATAACTTCCCACCGCCACCAAGCAAATCAGTCTTGGTGTCCATGACTCCACCATTAATGACCCAATTCATGGAAAACACAGACAAAATCCAGCAACATAGCATCAATAGTAGGTGTCCCACCTTCAAGCCAAACCCAATTACATGAAGAAAACTCATCCACAACAGTAGTAACCACAAAAAGTTACTTCAAACAGTATCAAACTGAACTACTTGTTTCCTAATTTCAGAAGAATATAAATCAAAGGTCAAAAGAATCGAAAACCCGTCTGCCAAATCTACAGAAACCCTCCAACAAGACCTAAAATCCCAAAATTTTCAAACTTCAAAGAAAAAATGTAGAAGGGTAAGAAGGAAATGAGCCCACCCACCTCCAAGATCAGTAAAAACAAGTAGATTGAAAAGGAGGTGAGAGAAGATGCTACCTTATCCACCCAATTAGCTTCACAATCCAAATGCAAGAAAACCCAAAATTGAGTGAGGATAAGAAAATCCCAAACACCCAGAAAAAGGAATCATAGAATCAGAATCCTCTAAGTTCAATTTTGTAATTCCAAAAAAAAAAAAAAATTTGATTTTATCCTGTCAGCTACCACCAAAACCCAGATTGAGATATGTGCCAAAACAGCCAAATAAAGATTCTTGAAATTTAGTTATAAAAATCAGAAGAAAGTACCGGGACGCTTGAATAAAGTAAAACAAACACACCCAATAAAGAATCTGACAGCAAATCTAGTTTATAAGGGTACTTAAAATTCCTGAAATCACACATGAAGAAAATGATTATAGTTTGACTCCCAAGTAAGCCAACTTTTTGGAGTTTGAGGCATTGAAGCAATAACACAAGCACAAGATGGGTTAAAGGTATTATGAGTAAATGAACAACAAGAAAATGAAAAAGGGTAAGGAGAGAGTTGATTCATGGACACTATGAAACAAAAATCTGCGAAAGAAAGATGAGAAGAATATGGTGGTAGAAATGTCTGCTAGCACAGGCCATTATCTCTATCCAGAAATGAAAAATAACTATAAAAAAAAAAAAAAAAAAAACAAAACAAAAATTATCTATGCACACATACATAACATATAATAATTGTAACAAAATATGTACAATATAATAATTGTAACAAAAATATATATACATATAATAATTTTATAAAAAGGGCAAAAAAGGTATACACCCACTAAGCAGAAATAACTGCTTTTTCCCCAACTTTCCTTTGTGTCCACATCCCCATCTATCCATACTCAGTTGACAAGTTCTACACGCCAAGTCCTTCACTCTATTGCTTTATCATTCTTGTATGGCTGTACTCTTGATTGACAAAAGTGCCCTTGCATGCAAAAGCATCCAATATAAAATCATCTCATTGGCCACATCGCATATGTGGGAGGGTCCGAATCCTCTACCGTACATAGTATGGTATGGTTTTAGCCTTTAGGTAGGGTCAATATTTAATTTGGGGATAAATTTTTACTGACCTGTTTTAAAGTTTGACAAACTATAGCTCTGTAAATCATTCGGGGTTTATTATTTTTCTTTGAGGTTTTGTCGTATGTACTTAATGATAGGGACGGAGCTAAAATTTAGTTTTAGAGGCACACAAAGTAAGACTTTACAAATTATTAGACGTATAAAAAAAATCATTCTCGAAAGGAATTTTTGAAAAATAAATAGATTTTAAGGGGGGCACAAAGTAATATTTTGCAACTATTATAGCTATATATATAATAAATTTAATCGGCCAGCTTGGGTTCAGGGGGCTCCATCCTTGCTTAACGAAAACCCTATTCTTTTGGGCAAATTTGTTGATCAAAATTTTACCCTAGTATAAAATCTAATATAATATGTATTATAATAAGGGCATTACTGATTGTTCATATTCAAAGTTATGTTTCAACAGTTAACGAACGAGCTTAGGTAAGGTTAAAATAATAAATGTTGACCGGTCTTCTCGTGTGTAATTTGTCCAAATATCAAAAGGACGTCAGTGTATTTTATCATTTATTTTGAGAGTCACCATATTATTATTTTGAAACTCAATTTTATTTACTTCTCAAAATAAGTCATTTGCTACAACTTAGTAGTAGTACTAGCAATAGTAATAATAATAATAATAAATAATAAATTCAATTAGTAAGCCCAATTTTCAAACCTATTTACATAATCGAAAGAGTTGATGCAATGAATATTGATAAAATTTGAATTTATCCATTACATTAAATGAATAAATTTAAATATTATTTTAAAAAATTTATATACTTCTACTGTCCTAAAATAAATATCTCCTTTAAAAAACAGTGACTCATTAGTCCTCCAACATAAGATCCCTTAATGACGGTGGATGCCTAAATTTTCAAGAAATGGCATGAGTTAAAAAGGAAGTCCATGAGTAGGTGATGAACGGGGGGACCCATGACAGAAACCCCTCAAGGTGTTATTATGTTTATTGCTCTGGTCTGGAACCCAAAATGTTGTTTGGTTACAGGGCTTACAGCACACTAACTCCAAACCAGAACACATTTATTCGAATATTAATTAGTAATTTAGTACTACATTTACCCGCCAAAAAATGCAATAATTCATCTTTTGTGGGTGGTATGTCATCTCACTAGGCAAGGGCAATGATATAATAACCTTTACAGTACAAAATGTGGTTGCAACCAACACCCCCTAACCCTAGTGGTAAGAGCTTTGTCTCTTTTAGATTTTATGATCTGTTTTTGTCAAACAAAGTGCTACTACTTGTAGTAGTATAAAGCTGGACAAGGAATTAGAATTTTGTTAATTAATGTAATTAAGATAAAAATCTGAGGGTATAGTTGGTATTGGGGTGGTGATAAGATCACGATGGTAGTATGGTAATTTAGGGATAAAGTGGGGGTATATTTGTAAGGGCACTTTAATCAAGGCGTGTCACGAACTGATTAGGCCATCACTACACTACCCACTTCATTTTTCTTTTTTTGGTGCCCTCTGGGGAGAGCTATGAGCCTATGACGGAGACATCCCACGTCAGCGCACCGGTTCTCTTTCGTGGACCAATAAAATTGTCCTACGTGTAATACCCTTAATGGCTTTTGTGACACGTGTCAGTTGTGAGGAGGGATAAATAAGAGAACCTTTGCCACGTTGTCTGAGACAGCTGGACACACACTGTCAAAGCTCTTAATCACAAGCCTTTTACCCAAACAATAATAATGATTAAAAATATATTTACGTTGTGTTTGATTACATTAATTAGAGTCCTGCAATTGAATCAGGATATGTACAATTGCATAAAATTATAATCTTGAATCTTAAAATTAAAATCTATAAAATTTGAGAAAAATAATTTACAAAATAGATATTTTTTTTATAAAAAAAAAGTCATCCTCTTAAAAAGTTAGATTTTCAAAAATAGACAATTTTTTTTATTTTTATTTTTTTTTTTGGAATGGAGGGAATATAAAATTTCTCACTTCTATTGTGTGTATAAATCATATTTCGCCGTCACAGTTTCGATAACAGTATTAATCGTAGTCACAGTATAATAGATTCGGATAAATATCATTATAAGTCTATCAAATCGGTTTATAAAAATATGTAACGGTATCAAACTCTTGAAAATATGTTATGAACAAATTGATGTACTGCATATAAATTAGTACTGCGAATCATGATATAAATATATGTGTGTGTATATTTATTTTAGGTTGATTAATATTGTTGGATAGTTCTTCCTCTTGTAGTAACGAATAAGTATTTTGTAGCTTGCATGCTTGTCCTATACAATTGTTTGTTTTCGAATCATTAGAAACTTAATATACCCTTTTTTGACTTTAGCTGTGCCATGTCTATATTGTTATATGTGAACACGTAAAGCATATACAAGTTCATCTACTCCTTTGTTGGTTAGTGGACTACTAGTTCAAATGTTACAATCCCTATGCATTGGGGGTACTAAGTCAAAGAGATTCGAATTATTAATTGAATTAGTATTTTCGGCATTTTTTCAGTATAATTTATAGCATTATATATTTATTAGGATAAATTATATTAACTTCCTCCAAACTTTGAATAAAATATTTCTAAATCGATTCGTCGATTGCTAAAAAATGACTTTTGAATGTTAAAAGTTAATAATGTTCTTACATTATAATAATGTATGATATTGTATTTTATATCAGGTGAGGGTAAAATTGTCATTTTATAAAATTTAGTTAACAGGTTTGTTAAAAAAAAAAAAAAGGTTATGGGCGTTTTTGAGCACATGCACCAAATTTTAAGGAATGTTAAAATAATAAACGCTAAATGGTAATTTATTCAACAAACCTTAAGAGAGGGAAGTGTACTTTACCTTATTTATTATAGTGCCAAAAAATTTGATATACAATAATTCTTTTCAACAGGTGTGGCTCTTAAGTTCTGTATGCACTCCCGCTCTCATGCTCCACGCGCTCTTGCTCCCATTCTCATGTATGTGACTTATATTGCATTTTATATCCGTCAAGGACAAAATTGTTATTTTATAAAATTTGATCAATAGGTTTAATGGGAAAAAAAACGCAAGGGTGTCATTGAACACATGAGCTACAATTCTAAAAAATAATCAAAATAATAAATTTTGAGTGATCTACCCGTATATAATTTATTCAATCATAATAAATAATTTAGAGTTGACACCAAAAAAAAAAAATCGGATGGTTTGTAAAGGAACCATAAAGATCGTGATATTACTGCCCCAGGGACATAGCGGCGTTGGCAGAAATTCGGGAGGTAAGTTTTTGAGGTCTCGCTTTCGAACCGCACTCCTGACTTAAATGGTACGTGTGTTGTGAAGTTCATACACATACTTAAAAAAAAAAAAAAAAAAAAAAATCGTGAAATTATTTTTAGGTACGGATGATAAAAATTAAGGAGTGAAAACCCATTGTACAATCTTGCAATTATTACGTTTCATATTAAATGAAGATTAAAATAAGATTTATATTAGCATGTTCTACAGAACATTGTACATAGGTATAATTAGTGATTTAATGAATAAAATAGGGCGGACAAAACTATGTGCATGATAAATGCAAGTAATTATTAACATGTGACCATAAAATCTTTTGTGTTTACTATAATGGCATGGTTTGTGTATAAACATGTGATGATAAAATTTCTTATTTAATTACTATTAATTTAACAACACGAGAAGATCATTACCGTTACCTAATAAATGATGATAGGATAAAGAAATTTTATAACACGTGACAATCACAAAATATTAGGTAGTATTTATCGTTTTGATTTTATCAAAAAGTTTCATCGCTTGGACAAGTTTCAAACTTAACAAATAATATTCGTTTTTTTTTTAATTGAATCATATAATTTATTTGCTAAATGTTTGCGTGTATTATGAAAATATTTCACTCATAAATATTTTTTTATCCCCAATGCCTTCATAGTCAGTGATTTGAGTTACTCCCTGTTATTCTTAGAGCTAATTGAAGGTTTCTACTGTTGAGCATTGGCACTCCTAACTTTCTAATTATATATATATATATATATTTCGCCAAAGGAAAAGATTTACCATCAAATCCTATTTTTGCAATAAAAAGATTTACTACACTATTTCTGGCATGCAGCTCTCTCCATATTGTATTTTTACAATTGTTATGTCATTCATTAATTATAATTTCGCTTTGCTATTCATTAATTATACAGTGAAATGCATGCGACTTCGTGCAAATGACACGAAGAATAAAATAAAATAAAATTGCGGAAAAGAATTATGGGAATAAATTTAAAAAAGAAGAGAGAAAAAAATGTTATTGCACATACATCATCCTACATGAGTGCAAGAAAAAGAAATTTTAAGAAGAGGGAAAAGAAAAGAAGAAAATTAAAAAAATGAGATAACTGTGAAGGAAAAAATAAGAGTGTTTGAAGAAAAAGAATGCAAAATAATGGAAATCAACGAAATTAGAAGAAAATGAAATTAGAATGTGAGATTTTTAGAAGACTAAAAAATTTTATAAGCCTTATGACTCCTTGTGGAACGGTGGAAGTAGTT